GTTAAGGAGGAGTTGACTGCAAGAGCCTGGGAAAGAGACGAAGCTCCAGAACACCCAATTTTGTAGTTCGAACTCAAATCCAAATTAGTTAAGGAGGAGTTGACTACAAGAGCCTGGGAAAGAGACGCAGCTCCAGAAGGACCGATTTTGTTGCATGCCAAAACCAAATTAGTTAAGGAGGAGTTGACTGCAAGAGCCTGGGAAAGAGACGCAGCTCCAGAAGCACCAATACTGTTCCCACTCAAATCCAAATTAGTTAATGAGGAGTTGACTGCAAGAGCCTGGGAAAGAGACGCAGCTCCAGAATCACCAATACTGTTCTCACTCAAATCCAAATTAGTTAAGGAGGAGTTGACTGCAAGAGCCTGGGAAAGAGACGCAGCTCCAGAAGCACCAATACTGTTCTCACTCAAATCCAAATTAGTTAATGAGGAGTTGACTGCAAGAGCCTGGAAAAGAGACGCAGCTCCAGAATCACCAATACTGTTCTGACTCAAATCCAAATTAGTTAAGGAGGAGTTGACTGCAAGAGCCTGGGAAAGAGACGCAGCTCCAGAAGGACCGATAGCGTTGTACACCAAACCCAAATTAGTTAAAGAGGAGTTGACTGCAAGACCCTGGGAAAGAGACGCAGCTCCAGAAGGACCGATACCGTTGTACCCCAAACCCAAATTAGTTAATGAGGAGTTGACTGCAAGAGTCTGGGAAAGAGACGCAGCACCAGAAGCACCAATATTGTTCGATCTCAAATTCAAATTAGTTAAGGAGGAGTTGACCGCAAGAGCCTGGGAAAGAGTCGCAGCTCCAGAATCACCAATGCTGTTCTCCCCCAAATCCAAATTAGTCAAGGAGGAGTTGACTGCAAGAGCCTGGGAAAGAGACGCAGCTCCAGAACCATCAATTCTATTTCCACTCAAATCCAAATTAGTCAAGCAGGAGTTGACTGCAAGACCCTGGGAAAGAGACGCAGCTCCAGAACCACCAATTCTGTTCAAATGTAGAACCAAATTAGTTAATGAGGAGTTGACCGCAAGAGCCTGGGAAAGAGACGCTGCTCCAGAATCACCAATACAGTTTCCCAACAAAACCAAATTAGTTAAAGAGGAGTTGCCTGCAAGAGCCTGAGAAAGAGACGCAGCACCAGAAGCACCAAATTCGTTGTTCAAACTCAAATCCAAATTAGTTAAGGAGGCATTGACTGCAAGAGCCTGGGAAAGAGACGCAGCTCCAGGAGGACCAATAAAGTTATTTATCAAGTCCAAATTTGTCAATGAGGAGTTGACTGCAAGAGCCTGGGAAAGAGACGCAGCTCCAGAATCACCAATAACGTTCGAACCCAAATCCAAATTAGTTAAGGAGGAGTTGACTGCAAGAGCCTTGGAAAGACACCCGGCAAGATTTTTTTGCCTCAATTTATCCTTCAAATTCAAATAAGGAATGTGAAGGTGCTCCCCTAAGGTGCAAACTAAACTTTCATACTCTGATAAACAACCTAAATAAAGTACAAAACGCTTTGAAACGTCTTGTGCAGACTGAAGACTTGTGATATTTCTAGCCATATACGTTACGAGGGACTCTGCGGTTTTCTCACTTGTTGAAACTAAAATTCCGATCGTAAATAAAAAAACTTGATATAGTTCGTTCTCATATCTTTGGTCAGTCACCACTGATTTGCACTCAATTTCTCCCTCAATGAGTTTGTAAGCAAGATAGAAACCAGCAAAGAACTCTTGAAAGCTCTTATGAAGAAATGCATAACGCACAACAACTTTCCTCTTACTGCCACCAGCCTGAAGTGAAAGGAATCCGAACTTGGATAAGACAATGAGGCCACCGTCAGATTTATGTTTTTCAAAATACAACTCTCCTTTTAGAAGAGATTCCAATGCCATTCTTCCAAGATCTATTAATTCTTTTTTGTAAACGGTCATTAGGTCTTCATTCTTGCTCGCTAAACCTTGCTTTTGTTCATATCTTCTTAAAACACAAAGAACAATCTCCGTGTACAATTCAGTTCTGCTCGTTGGAATTACGCCCTCAAAATCCTCACAAATAACACACAGTAAGGCAGTGTTTAAGGGATTTTTTGTCAATTCACTCAGGTCTCTATCCTGTTGTGGCTCAGATCGAAAGGGCACATCCCATATGCGTCCTATAAATTTCTTGGCTAAGTGCTCTTTGTGGATGTTTTTAAAGTATTTACGAATAAAGCTTTTTGCATCTTTCTTGGTAAATCCTTCAATTTCCCACAGAGTGTCAAAGTACCTCCTTACTTTACTTCCAGCCTCATGACGAGATGTCACAACAATGTAGCAACCTGAAAGTTCTTTACCTTGAATAAGGTTAGAGAGTACTTTGAGGTTACTAGGATCCACTTCATCCAATCCATCGAGAACTAAAAGAACTTTCGACTGATTTTCGCGAATGAATTTAAAGAAACATTCCTTAGCTTGATCTTCCATTTCCTCGGGTAAAATTTGATCATCAATAGCCTCCCAGATGTTGGATTGAATTTCATCACATTTGAGAAGCAGTAGCACTTCAAGCTCTGGAAAAGATGGATCCCATTTGTCCTTCTTAGTTGCCCAGTCATACGCCAGCTTTTGACAGTATGTGGTTTTTCCCATGCCAGGATCTCCCCCAATCAAGATTGTTCTCGGGCTTTGACATTCTGCGTGCGCCTTAAAGATAGCAGTCATATTGGTTATCTCGTCAGTAAGTACTCCTTGGGTCTTTTCTCTGCCCGAGATTTTTAATCTTGTAAAAATATCATTCAAATGAAAGCTGAAATTTTCACACCAAGGGACAGGCAGAAGGCGTTGTTCACGAGTTCTATACAGCTGACGGATCCTCTCAAAAATGTCGTTTGGGTATGGCAAATCTAAAAAATGAATATTCATACACGCTGATTAAACATTATCAAGTATTTGACTTGTTAGTTTGTATATTATGGAGGGCGCATGATTAGGGGAATATGACACACTTTGAGAAGTCAAGGCTGTGCTTTAAGGAAAATTGAAGGGTGCCCAGTGCTCTGAACCAAGAGCAAAAGTTGGGCGCCAGAGAACAACGGGCTTTGCTACAGCACAACCCAGGAAGTACTTTGCGATTCTATTAAAAAACGCATGGAAATTCGGGGGTGGAAGTGGAATCATTTGTCCTTTGTTGTTTATGATTCCTGCCTTTTTTACCCAATGATTCATGATTCATTCATATTTTTTTCCCGAGATTCATGATTCATTGTTTTACGTCTCCGCTTCCACCCGCGAATGGAAGTATCCTGACCTCGATTTCACTGCAGCACTGGAATTATCACGGGATATAGACCCGACATTACCTTATGGTCACCTAAATTCGAATGTGGTCACATTCCTGAGCATTTCATAAGCCAAGTCAAACTTTTGTTTGCAGAAAGTCCGAATCATCGAAAGTTCTTTCAGTTGCAGCATACTTGTGTTGCATAACTCTGAGACGCAAACAACGACGTCAGCAATGAGAAGGGAATGTCAACACAAGAGTTTATCTTGTTGGGTTGACAAACAAAGCCATTCACCTAAATCGTTAACATCTAGCGCCAAAATCAACTGTCACGCGAATCTTTGAATTCGTGGTCTATCTGCCTCAGTAGCAACACAGCCTCTGGAGACAAGATTGGTACTCTTAAAGAGTATCTATTATTTGAAGCGGTACAATTTGCCCTTTTTTGGGGGGGAGGCAAGGGGGATTTGACAATATAAGGGTTGTGGTTAAGTGCATATAATGAACTCGTACCTGTAGATCTAAACGCCTTAAGATCTTCCACGGTCCTTCTAGCTTTTGCTCTGATTTCGTCATTCTCCATCATGTATCCTTCATTACCCCTCTTATTCCTTTGAAATAAATACTCATCTGGCAAAATAAAAAATAGTAAACAACGGCCATTAGAACAAAGGATACATTATCCTCACAGTTATATTCACTGAGGTGGGAGAACCGTCTGTCAGTCGATAAAAAAGCATTCTCTATCACAGTCTTTTTATTTTGTACTGTTAACAGTATGGTTAGAAGGTCAATAATGAACCTTTGACAACTGACATAACCTTAGATAACTTATGATCACCTAGCAATAATACAGTACAAAACTGCAAATCATGAAAGTGCCTACGTCCATAGAAATGGAGTCATGAAAGTGACATGCGAATATTCTGAACAGAAAGCGCTAAATTTCACAAAAAGTAAAAAAAATTATTCTTGGACAAGTTCTGAGTAATGGACATTTCAGTCCGCCACTCCTGGAAATAGAATCCCTTTTAAAAATCTTTTTACGGTATGCAGCATTTGGTACGCATCACTCGAGAAAGATCGAGGGGCCGAGCGCCTTCAAACTGGTACTTTACAAAGGGTAAGACGCCATGAATAAAACTCTTCTTATTATAATAATCATCTCTTGGTGTAAAATCGCAAGCCAATATTAGCTTACAATTCCAGACACTCAGTATAAAGCGTGGATTTTTTACTGTGAACTGCTTCAAACTCGCCTGTTCGACATCACAATCACTTCTTCTCAATCACAACTATTAAGCTAAACAGATCACACTTTGTTGCGTCTGAAAATCTGAAAAATATCCGGCTGAACAGGATCTACTCCTATGAGTATAGGATATTTGAAGTGAGGAAAGGCTATTAAAAATTCAGCAGGAAATATTTTTTTCCGCATTAATTACAAAGGCGATTACATTATTAATAAACTCATTAGGATGATTTGTAGAAAGAGAATCCATGTAAAGGTAGTTACCGACTCCCACTTCTCTTGAACACAAACAACACACCACACCACAGTGCAGGGCTGATATCTGCAGCACATTTTCCACCAGTAAAACAAACCTGGTTGATTGCGACAGGGAAGAGACTAGTATTGTACCTTTTCTGGGCTGAAGGCTAACATAGTGTAACTCATGAATGTGTCCCAACACAAGGGGGGTTGGGTCAGCAACTGCGTGTTCTGGATGGACAACTATTTCACGATCAAGGCTGCTGATAACACGGATGACAGTTTGGAAGCGATTTGCTGCAGCAAACAGAACCACGTGATCACCCCAGGTACCGTCTTTCGCCATGCTTTGTAAATATTCACCCCATGATGGGTAGCCGGAAACAAAGTTGAACATGGATGTTCCATCATGCTAAAAAAACAACAACAACAACATCATCATTCAAGCAAGTGAATTTTAAGCCTTTACCTGGTGAATCAGAATACAAATGGAGTGAGTTTTGAGTTAACTGATGACAACAACAGGTCAGAATGAAAGTGCTGCAAAAAATGATATACTTAGAGGTACAGCCAACTGTATACTAAGCTCCGAAAATACTTTTTCACTTTAATGAGTGGTGGTCTTTCAAAAGAAAAGCTTTCATGTACGGTGCAAAAGAGAGCACACATTCTCAAGGGATTACCCTATTTGAGAAATTCTTCCTAATGATATATTGATATATTGCAGTGCCGGATCCATACCTTGACATAAGGGCTGGGGTTCATCCATGACCCTTAGATAATGGGGGGGCCCACTCTCAAAATGTTTTAGTTTGGTCTGAAAATAAGGGGGGCGGCCCCCCGGCCCCTCCCCTGGATGCGCCACTGTATTAAGTTAAACCAGGTGCTCTAACACACTTTACCTATTTCAGTGATGCCAGTCCTCGGGAATCTAATATCTAGACATTGTCTCTTTTCTGCAGTACACCCCTTCTCCCTTACAGGTACAAATCAACAAAGTTCCCAAATCATAACATGGTATGGCTCAGGATATTATCAAATTGGCTTTATAGTCTAGGATTTTACAGGAGATACTAAAGGCCTCTGCCATTTTTTTCCCCAGCATGATGAAGTTAAATATACTATTACGGGACTACATCACTGCCTTACCAGATTAGCGTTCTCTCTGAGAAACTGGACCAAAGTGCTTCTAAGTTCTTTGTGTGAGATTTGGATTCCTTTAACAATTTTCAGTTGCTCTGACAGTGCATAGAACAAACAGTTCCCAGATGCTTGGTTATCAGAAACTAAGAATCCTTTCTTCGCTGCAACTGTTCTCAGGTTAGATGGTAGGATGGTTTTGTTGCGAACCTGGTCTGCATCACATCGCAAATTTTGTAAGGATGGAAGCATGTTCTGAGCTGGAAAAATAGATAGTTGTTTTTACATTTTCAGTAGTTCGATAGGTGGACACTGCGGCAAATTGTATTGATTATTTTAAAAGCATGTAATAAAAAATACTTTTCTGTAAATCACAATGAGTTATTTTAGAGAACAAGCAAGATTTAATTCCTCCCCACCCACCTTTTTTCATAGTTTCAGCAGTTTGTATGGATCATTGCTGTGCAGGATGGACACTCTTAAAAGTTTTTTGCTGATTAAGTGGAGTTTATACCATCAAAATTCAAATTAAACATACACATTTTACACCCAAAAAAATATCACTCAGTTTTGTTTCATTTGGATAATGCAAACATGTTTACTTGCAAAAGGTCTTATCAGGTGTAAGACAACACTAGTACATTAAAGATAAACCTCAGTAGAATACAGATAGATCGGGTAGACAATGCGCTGTACAAAATATTGGCAGCAAACCGTGTGAATTCTATTAACACATACCTACAAAATTAGGTGAGACACTTTACCCTGAAGGGACTTTCTGAAGTCTGTTGTAGTTTCGGATCAGGATATTGTCACATTCAAGAACACTCAGTATAGAAAAGTCAACAAGCCTTTTTAATCAGCAAGCAAGTCAAGCTAGTATCCATGCGCACATGTAAGAAACCACATACAAGCTATGACAAAGTCTTACCAACTTCAAAAGGGGAAAAAATAGCTTGTTGTACTGCTGTTCGAGCTACCAGTAGAAAATGCTAAACACCTCAACTTTGAATGGAGGCGAAGCGGGGTGGGGTGTGGATTGTTTTGCTCTGAGGTTACCCTATTTGAGTACAATGTCTCAATAATTTTGTCACCCATAGACATCTATGATTAGACAGAGCTAAAAAAAGCCCCGTTCAGTAGTCCATGACAAATAGCTTTCTTTCTGCTTGACAAGCAACTTGCCCAATGTGTAAGGGTGTAAGCAAGACATCTTTTAACCAATTCATTAACGTAAGCCCCATTCACACCAACTAAACATGGTTCAAAAATGGAAAACAGTTAATAGAAAGCTAGAACGCAGGCTTTTATAGATAATAGATAATTCAAATAAAATTCAACATTGTTAGTAATGCATAGTTGCAGCAATCAATAAAGTAGAGTAAGCAGCTTCTACAGTGTACAAAGAAAACAAAGTTAAACCATGTTCAACTTATAAACAGAGGCCCTGCCAGGGTAAATTCCGACAAACGACATAGCCCAAAAAGTAACGACAGTGAGTAAAATGAAATCACGACAAGAGACAACCTCCCTCGGCCAAATTGTGACAGTGACGGCAAAGCCGACAATAAGTGACAAGCATTCATAAACACCGACACAAGACGTTTTAAAATTCAGACGGGCGACATGGGACCCCCTCCCTGGCATGGCCTCTAAACAGCTTTTAAACATGTTTACATCTTGGTGTGAATGGGTCTTAAGACAAGCAAAAAGTGGCCCCAGGCAAGCAAAAGGTATAAGAGCTGCTTGCCCAAAGGAGGGGGGTGAATAGGGGTATGCAAATCCACCAATCCATTATGATTTATTAACCAAATCTGCCATTCCATTTTTGCCCTGAATCCGAAATCTGGGCAAAAATATTATTTTGAATTACACGCAAAGTCCAAAATCCCGGCCCAAAAAATAGATGAATCCGCAATCTGCTGCAATATATTGGAGGACCCAGAAATCCGTTAAAATCTTGCTTTGAATCCAAAATCCAGGCAAAAATATTTTCAAAATCCGCCAATCCGTTCACCTATTCACTCCCCTCCCAAAGGACAAGCTTGAATTCAAGTTTTTTTCAAGCCCTGTAAAATACGTCCATGGCAACCAAACTTCAAAATTCGAAATATTCTTCACTTGAGCTGCAGGCTTAACTTGAGTGGCCCTATTCCCCCATAGAACACTTTCTCACTAGAAACACCATTCAGCCAAGATTTATAAGCATTACAATAATAAATATTATAAGGCTACCTTCAATGTCTTCAGTAATGCCCTCCATCCACTGAGGAACTTTAGTGCATTTGGTTTCTGAATACCTCTGATGATTTGAAGAATCATCTGTTTAATTAAAGGAGAAGATAACAATAAATTGGCTGCTTTCGGTAACTTGCAAATGTATGAAATAATCACACCAATGAGCTGGGGATAAAGCATACAAAAGATTAGCTGGGTCATGATTACCAAACTTATAAGTTACTTTCAAGAATAGAAAATTTTCCTGCCTGTCAGTGATATGTAATCACACTATTCCAAATATCTGGGAAAGAAAGTTTTTTATCACATTTAGTTCTACGGTAAATACATATAGTACTAGCCATCTTTTATTTTAATTTTTTTTTTCATGATATTTTTAGAACAAAAAATCTCAGCGGTTGCTTCTTGGTTCTGTTTTGTTTGTTTGTTTTCACATATTTTTAGAGTTCACATCCTATTATTTCCTCTGTAATAGGGAGCTCAAGGAAAGGTGTTTGTGACATACAGATGGCAACCAGCCATCCTTCTCATGTACTATACCTTGACGCTACCAAATTTTATTGTTAGGTGTATTTTCTTATATTCACATTTTTCTAGAGACTATTGCCGGAAAATTAGGGCAAAACCACCACCAAAGATTGCATAAAGTCCACCTCTGGTTATCATATGTAGCTCAAAAACACCGATGCTTAAGCTCCCTAATGTGAAAAGTATTTTTAAGAAAAAAAAATTAACAATGTTAATAAATCATAATAATTTTCAGTACTTCATATTGTGCAACTTAATGTGTAATATAAATACATGATGAAATGCACATGTCAATCAAAAAGTTCATACCGTGAACCCAACTGATCATCTTCTCAATAAGATCTTTTATCTGTCTGGCCCAGTTGTACTTTTCGTCAAAGGAATCACGCAAGATTTTTGCTTCCTCCAGTCGACTGTTTCTGTCCTTAGCCCAGATTTTCTTAATAGCTGAGGTCCACTCTGCGGGTTCATCTGAGTTAACAACATATGTTGAACCAAAAGGTACACTACGCAAAGCTTCTCCAAAACCAGAGTTGCCACTGACAAGCACAGGTAGACCAGCTGACAGGGCCTCAAGTCCTGTCAATCCAAAGCCTTCTGTTCTTGAAGGCATGATTACAAGATCCACTTCTTGGAACAAGTCCTTCAAACTCTCTCGCTCTTTAACAAATCCTCTAACTCTCAAGCGCCTTTCAGGAACACCACATTCAGTTAACTGTTTTGCTATTTCTTCGTGTTTTCCATCTGGGGTTCCAACAAACACAAGACGAGTATCTTCTAATGCAGCAATCACTTTCCCAGCTATGTCAAACCCTTTTACTTCAAAATCTTCTACATCTCCACGACCAAATACCAAGACACTGCGTTGTTGCCTTTCACTAGGAACCTGCTTTACAGCCGCAAACTCTTCAAATATTCCAGGAGTGAAGTCAAGAACAGTGTCATCTTTTCTACAGCTACGTAGATATGAGCGGAAGGCCTCACTCAACTTGGGTCCAACTCCTACAACATGATCTGCCATTTTACACAGTTCTACTTCAGTCTTGTGCTTTTCTTCACCCTTTGAAATTGGGTTGGAATAGTTTTTAAACATCCCAAGTTCTTCAGGGTCTGTGTGCACCACTTGAAGCCATTTGCACTTTTTAGATTTTTTTATGATTTGTACTTGTTTACCAAGTTTAACACCATGACCCACAATAATATCAATTTGCAGATGATCTGGAGGGAAGCTAAGCCAGTCCAATTGTTCATAGCCAAGTAGTGGTGTTGCCTCCACGATCTTCACATTGTTTTGTAAGGCAACCTTCTTGTCCTCTTGACTGCATTGTGGTAAAAAGAAAGTGATTTCCACTTCAGGGCATTTGGCTAACTGAATGGCTAATTCTCTGTTTATGGTAGAGAGCCCCCCTTTGCTTGATCCCCATTCAGAAGCCAATATGGTGACTTTCACTTTGTGAGAGCCGCACACTCGGTCATCACTCATGGCTGTTTAAACTTTTTCTACAGAAGATGCCGTTACCAAATATCAAAGTTGCCAAACATCTACAAAATGATAGATAACAACAGAGAAAAATATATTATGATAAACATTTTCAAAACTTCTATACTACCTAACTTCCAAAATTCCAGCTAGGCCGGGGTTCTTTTCAGAAAACCAAATGGCTGCTGAATGGCAAATGACTCTGAAGTTTATAGTGATTATATAATGTCATAGTTTGCATGCAGTCTCTTACATGTGCGCATGCAGACTAGCATGCTCTACACAGCTTGCTCGCTGAAATAAAAGCTTGTAGTGTTTCCTGCACTGAGTCTTCTTGAATGTGACAATATCCTGATCTGAAACCACAACTGAGTGAATCAGGTTCTGTTTAAGGTCATTATATACTGAGAAAACTGACCTGAAAATTGATTCACTCAGTTTCCTTACCCTAATCACTAAAGTTCAGAGTCATTCGAATGCCATTTGGTCCTGGCACCAAAATTCCTAACTTGATATTACCACACTTCCATCAGGATTGTCAGAAAGTTTTGAAGTAGAAGGCTGAGTTGTCAAAGTAAGCGGCCAGTCCAGGGATATCTTATTTTAAAAAACGGCGATTTTCGCCAGCAACCGGCTACTTTTGACAATCCTGTTCCATACTACCAAACTTCCACACTTAAACACTTCTGCCACAGTTTTGTGACCCACACTAGCTTACTCTGGCACTTAAAATTTAGTAAGAACATACATTATGCTAATAGATGTAATAATCATGAGTCAGTGCCTATGGTTACTTGGATGAAACTTTCCTTTACGATGAAATTTACCAGCGGCCAAATGAGACAGCTACATGTATAAGCGTGTGTTGCAAATGAATCCACCCTCTGACTAAAGGATAATTAAATAGAAACTAGTGGCAATTTACACGCAAATTTCATGCTTTGTGAATACAATAGATTCATTCAAAGTATTAATATTTACATAAAAAACCTACTCATAGTCATGATCTCACATTTAGCACTTTTATCACAGACTTACGAAATCGCATAATTTGTTCAAAAACACCACACTATCTATAAATGCCCATGGCAAGCAGCATTTCAAGCAGAGTGTCTGCAGTATACTACAAATAATAAATAGACTTAATTAATGTGTCAAATGCCTAGCTTACCCGGAGTGTAAACTAATTGTGGACACCTAACTACCTAAAAACGAAAATCAAACAATTAAAATAAACAAACTCGGAAAGCCTGCGACTGATCTAAGCGCTCTTTCTTGGAAACTCTCAATCTTCCGGCTATCAGATTTTCTACAAAAGTGCTATACCGTCTAACAATAAGTTATTTGTGGCAAAATCAAAGATTTGTAAATTCTAAGCTTTGCTAATGTTGGTATTAAATTTTTCAGTCTCATCAGGACCCCTATTTTCCTAGATACTCTAGCTAGTTCAAGTGGCTAGTAAACTTCAGATGCTCGTCAAAAGTGACACCCAATAGCTTCTTTCTACAATTTTGTCAAGGACTTTGATTTACCTCATTTGGCAGGATTACAAACTTACCAAGAGTTTTCGTTCGTTCATATCGTGAACTTGAGATCACAAAGGTAACACCAGCGCATAAAAGACGTAAATTTTTTCGTGTAGAACTATTAAGAGGGAACAACACTACTTCTGCACTCGACACAGCTCAGAAAACCGAATCAGAAACTAAAAGCGGAAGACGCTCTTCACAGTTCAGTGACCGACATATTTGGAAAACTATTACCCATACTGAACTGCGGGCAGTATCACGCGATCTCTGTTTGGTCACGCACTTCGGTACCCCAACATTCACTGCGGTCAAACGAGGCCAGAGCAACCTCGTTCCCAGGGCGCTTTTCCCTAGTTCCAAAGCCAGGGAAAAGCGCCCTGGGGACGATGTTGGAGGCGAGAGTTGTCTGTAGCAACAAAAATATAAATATAAATGCCAAATAAGGCTAAAAGACGGCAAAACATTAATCTTAACGTTTTTGTAAATGATTCACACTTGAAAGGCCTGTAACCCTCCGTGCTGATCCACGTCCCTGATGTCATTAGTTGTAAGGTGGGCGGAGCTGGAAGAAAAAGTTCTACCAAACTGTCATTCAACAGGCCAGAGAAGAACGCAAACAAACTATAAAAAAACGTTACGTTAACCAGAATGAAACTCTTGCCCATGCATGGCCCATCCGTACTTCCTTAAAATGTTTTTATTATGCCCAGGGTTTTCGTGGAAACCTTCTCCACCTCATCAAAATGAAGCTGAGGACGTATCCAATAACGGAAACTCGAAATATTCCCTCCTGCGCCTAACCGAACTTCGAAAGCTTTAACTAGGAATCAGGTGACAGAGGGAAACGTATTGCTCGTCTTTTAAGTTTTTTTCCTGTTTGAGACATATTTTGCTTTTTTTGGACAGCTTGTGGGCAGAAACAGCTTAAAGATTTCCAGAGGCAATTGGGTTTTTACAAAAACTTCTATTGCATAAGGATACTCGATCCCGGCGGTTCTTCTGTCGGGACCATCAATGTATCTTCTAATTTTCAACAAGAGAAAGAAAGATGCATTAAATAGACCATCGATTTACAACTTATTGTCGAGTATGGATTGCGGTTTCAAAACGGCGTGATATCAACCCCGTTCGCAGGATTCTACTTCTACCCGAGTAGCGGATACAGTCAAAACATAACCAACCAAGAGGTAACCAAGACTAATAAGATGTAACCAAAGAAACTCCTACAGAGCAGTCGTACTTAAGCCTGAGCTAGCGAAGCGATACAGATTACATAATAACTCAACGAGTCAAATTACAGAACACAATACTATTGGTGGAAACCTAAGGTTGTTTTGAAACATAAATTACTTCCAAAAACTACACCAATGGATAAATGCTTCTTATAGGTTGATTATACAGCTTGAAGGCTAAATACAGTTATGACTTGACAAATAAGTTTACGCTCAATAGATATTAACAGGTTTTATACGGTTGGAGAAACTAAGACTAAAGAATCAAGGATTTCTGCATTGGCTTTTCACATTTTTATCAGCGAAAGCAAAATAACTTAATGACAATAAATCCTCTCTTCACAGTTCTAAGTACGCGAGATCATAGTCAACTTCGTTCAAATCAGCTTATAACAAATTTAAAAGTCTTATCTTTTTAAAAATCTTCGTTATTCATAAGTAGGACCAGCATTTTCGTTATTCTTTACCGAGGATACCCATATCATTAGCAATGTGGGTCCAGGAATGCCCTAAACAAGGGGATGACGGTGGGTACTATGGACTTTTATCTCCAGTTCCAATCTCGGCTCTTTTGCTCCTTCCTGTCCTGCCGAACCCGCGTCTCATGTCCAATATTCACCACCTGTTTCGCAATTTGTTCAAGTCGTAAAAGTATGATTGCAAGAGGTACAAGTCAGGGGCGGATTCAGACCTTCAGATAAAGGAGGGAGTGGTCATCCACACCCTAAGATGAACGGGGGGGCGGTCTCAAAACAATTCTTTCCGGCCATTCGGGCCTCAGTTTGGTCTAAAAATAATGGGGTATCCTCCCCTGGTTTCGCCACTTCAAATGGTGGTGAGCATCAGACAGCCCTCATCAAACCTCCACTCGGCTGACTAAACTCGCAAACTACAGAAATCTGGAGAAATCGGTCTGGTCGATTAAGGCAAGGTCCTTTAACGGTTGAGATAATCCTTTCATTTTTTAAGCGCAAATATCATGACAATTGGTTTTATTACAGTAGCATACCTAAAAACGATCATACAGGAGTCTCAAAAACTGGTTTGCCTCTTTTTAGATACTGTACAGTGGAGGATCCAGACCTTCAGATGACGTGGGGGGCGTTCATCCAGGCCCTGAGATAAGGGGGGGTGGGGGGGGGGCGCTCTCGAAAAAAAAATTTTCTTGCTGTCCACTCTCATTTTAGATCACATTATTTGGGTAAGTTCTCACATTTAACACTAAAACTGAGTTCGGTGTATTTACAACATTCATTTCTCTCCGGCTATTTCCGCGTTTGTCAAGGCACCATAACAAGCACTCTGGATGCCTATTCACACCTCTGAACCAAGGGCAAAAGAGTTCGATTTTCAAATTTTCAGTTAAAGATGTTCAAAAACTGACAAATTTCTCTTTGTTACTGATGATGGTAGTGCGACATACTCTCGTAATGAGCTTGGGCATTAATGACATTAATTCAAGAGATTACAGTCACGGGTTAATTTTGTTGAATCAAAATTGTAACGGGGTTTAACATGTACCTTGTGATACGTGAAGTAAAGTAACATTTAGTAAATGAGGGATACTCTCAGCCCGAATCTCTTCCCAACCAGCTGAGGGCATGTTCACTAATATTAGGCTATTGTGTTTCGATCCTTTATATAAGCAAGTATTGTGATTCTATTCTTCCACAATAAAATGATCACTTACAAACTAGAAATAAATTGTTTCGAACTTTAAGACGAACTAAGGCGAGTTTTCATAGTTACGCCCGCAAGCGAGCTGCACAGGTCTTGCTGTCCACTCTCATTTTAGATCACATTATTTGGGTAAATTCCCACACTTAACACTAGAAGTTCGGTTTATTTAACCAACATTCATTTCTCTCCGATCATTTCCGCGTTTGTTAAGGCTCCATAACAAGCACTGTGGGAGCTATCACACCTCCAACCAAGGGCAAAAGAGTTCGATTTTCCAATTTTCAGTTACTACAGATGTTCAAAAACTGACGAATTTCTCTTTGTTACGACAGCTTAACAAAATTTTATACAGGGATGCCCCGACTCGAGAGGGCAACCGTTTCTTGTTCATATGCCATTCAGTTTTACGTTACCCCTTTCGAATACCTTCTAATGAAGAACTGTACACCTTTCATATACCTAGTTTAAAACACTACTTTCTTTGAGCTACTGTAAATGCACTGTCCGTTAAAAAAATATAAAAAATCACTAAATCAACAAATTTTCTTGACTTTTTCATAGCCATAAAATGCATCTGTTAGCCCTACTTTTATCCAGACCGATGTGACTAATTTCCCTACCCTCCTTTTGTATACTTAAACTAGTGCAATCCCTAATCTGAAACCTGAATAAGGTACCCCTTTCGGTCGGAGCCTCCCTGTATAAAATAAATACCCCCCCCGGTAGAGGCCATTATAGGGAGTATCTCCGGCGCTCAGCTGACAACTTAATAATGGATTTCACAGAAGACAACGATACGGATGAAATCCGAAATGTCTTGTAACTTCTCCCAAATTAACTTGTTTCAGAAATTTATTATTTAAGGATATAATTCCCTGATATCGAATTGTGAAAAAAAACTGACTTAGTTTTGGTTCACGCCATTTAGATACGAATTATATTATTATCCTTAAATGTTGAATGCAGCGGAATTCTGGTACTTTCAGATTGTCATCAGCAAGTCTACACGATATGACGTTAATCATCGTAATTCAGTTACTGCTCCATCTGTTTCTTACCGCGAAAGCCTGTACGGAGATCCGAGTAGCTACACAGGACAAAAGTACTGTAGTCATCGGCAGGAGAATGGAATGGTCTTCCGATCTCCGGTCAGACACCCCATAGTGGAACCCCAGGGGTATTTTCACAAGGTCAATCTATCCGTTAACTGCACTAATACTGATCATGCTGGTACACCACTTCAAGACTGGACAAATAGATACACCGTCATCTACCTCAATGCTTTCGGTCGGGATATTGCCAGTGATAGAATGAATAGCGAGAGATTGTCTGTGGGTGCGCTTTATTTACCCAACTTTACCACGTACCAGGTACATATCTAGTCCAAATAGTGAAGCCTATTAAGCGCGCGTATCGCGCTCCGCCCTCGCGCTAAGGTATTGTCGAAAAAAAGGAAGAAAAACGTCTGTGGATAGGTTAGAGTAAATGTTATGACTCTTCCTTTGTTACCCTTAGTTTGGCTTTCTTTTTGCCGCGAGAATTGGCGAGCAGCAACACTGTGATTGTCTGGTGGGGCCTGGGCACTTGAGATCTGCGTAAATGTCTCGAATGCTCACAGTGATTACTTTTTTAGAAAGAAAATCTAAGACACTATGACCCAGGCCCTCTATGAGAGACGTTGCCTCGTCCCTATTCGGCGTTTTCCCAGGCCTTCTCGGTCAATGCATGACGATGACGTATCCGAGGCGAACGGCCGGGAGACTCGCTCGGACCACGTCACTCGAAACGCGTAACCCACAGAAAATAATGAGGTGCGTAGGGACTTGGCAATGAGAGATGGACTGATCCCTTCGTGAACAGCCCCATGCACGCAGTTAAAACATCGAACGTCCGGGAACACCTGGGAGAGCAGGGATGCTCCGCTCGAAAAGGCTACCCGTGCTTTTCCAGGCTAGAGCTTCGTAAATGAGCTGGGATCAACGAGTGGGATCAACGAGTTCAGGCATGAAAAGAGGTACTTTTCTTGGCAAGGTAAAAAATATAAAAGATCAATCTCCTCCCTACCGCTTTTTCCTACGAAAATGTGATGGGCGAGAAATTCACATTTTCCACAGCGCTAATTTATTATATCCAAGATTTTAGAGTGCATGAGAGAACACGTGACCAGTGGATGCCATGTGCTTTTCCTGCTCCTCCCATTTTCTAAGTGTAAAGCCCTGGGGACAAGGTTGTAAAAAGGTGAGGGCTTGGGGCTTAGGACAATCCTTTCTTGATGGAGCTCCGCCATTGTCCCTAGCACATGTCAATATGCACTAGTCGGTCATCAATCAATTGAAAACTTTATAAAAACTAGTCGACCAGTTCTTTAAAATTAGCGATTGTACTCGATGCAGGTGTCAAAAAAGAAATTGGCTATTTCCGAATAACCCAACTTACCACTCTTTCTCAGAACGAAGGTAAGTGCACTCTGTTCTCATGCAAACAGCTGATGCAAATAGAGTTCAGTATCGCATTTAACTTCTCTTCCATGGTGAAGGGCTTTGGATCTTTCTCAAGCGACTGCCTCCTCCTTTCGTATATGCTACTAAGTGCGTTTTAAAATGTATTTAACTCTTCTCGTTTGTAACACAGGACGTTTGTGGGAGCTTGTGCAACATTCGTCCATATCTAATTTACAACTTCCTAAATTCATTCTGGGAAACTTCGCGACCGTCCAGGAGGTACAAGAGGCATTGGACAACGGATCGTTTCCGCTGGTGTTTGATCAAAAGGTCAATTTGTCCGGAATAGACACCCTTGAAATTCACTACACCATTTACGACAAAACTGGAGCAGGCATCATAATCGAGTTTACTAACAACGGGAGAACAGTTTACGAAAACACCGTCGGCGTGTGTACCAACTCTCCGCCTTATGATTTCCATATGATTAATCTTCGTAATTATGTTGAACTCAACAAAACCGCACACGAGGCTTTGCATTTGGGAGGATATGTTTTCACACCCCTCGGTCAAGGCAGTGGTTTGCTTGGTACCCCAGGCGATTTGACACCTCCCTCCAGACTGGTTCGCGCCGCTACGCTGACTCACTTTGCTGATCCGGTTAAGACGAGCGACGAGGCCGTAAACTTGGCTATCCATATCCTGAATACTGTGGATATTCCCCATGGAGTTGCCGGCAAAGACTATACCAACTGGATCGTCGCCAAGGACCTTACCCATAAGGCGCTGTACTATCGTACCTACAATGATCTGACTATCCGTGTGATATATCTCGACAAGGTACAGCCACAGGGGAAAATGCTCAATCTCTCGCTGTCGACACCGGTCAGGGGCTTTAAGGATACCACCGATGAGTTGGAAACTGTTGATGTGGGGCACACGGAACTCTAAGGAACAGAATCCAGGAACTAATCATACTAATCAAGCGTTAAAAGCCACCAAAAAAATAATTGTAAGTAATAAGGTCTTGCCTGTATCCTCCTTAGAGACTAAGGTAGGGCGTTATGGGTGTCTATTGCACGAGTGCGTGCGAGTCGAAAGATCCATCAGACGCTGCCCGCGTAACAGACGCCTTGTCTAGACCAGGATGATGCGCTCGCGTGTCCTCCTCGCTGTCGTATGGCGCTAATTCTCTTGGTTGCAAATTAACCGTCCCCTTATCATAAGCCCTTCACGCCAGTGGATTCTGCACACGTGAAAATCCCCCAACCCCGCCCTGAGCTTAATTTTTAGGGAGGATATAGTTGCCCTAATTTTTTTTTGTAGTGGCAGTCGCGCGAGTGAAACACGCGACCACGCCCGAGGACACTAGTCTCTACCGAGACCATCGCATTTGTCACCCGAAATCTAAGGGTTTTCTTCGCTCGTCTACGCATGCGAAAAAAATGCAATTCGTGGCCTCGATAAATAGTTGTTAATTAAGTTCCTTGCAGGCTTGGTCTAGACAGTAGTTGAGATTTCTTTTAAAGCAAACAGCAATATTAAAGTTTTAAGAACCGTGGCACAATTAAACATTGAAAAATTACGTCAAAGTTGTTAACAGTTTTTTTCGAGTTACAGTTAACAGTATGGCTACCTCGATGTTGACCCTTCGTATGAGCCGCTTGGAACACCCGTATTAGATCCAAGCTACCCAAGGTTGATCTATCCCACTTCAAACACCCTTGTAGAACCACGCCCCTTGTACCACTTATGACGTCATGAAATTGCCGGCGAACGGGGGGCGTGACAATACGTGACTCCGGCCCGAGTGGCTGCGAAGGAGGCTAACGTTTCCAACGGTAGCTGTTCGTCACAGCGAATCAATCGTTCCATTGCTAGCTTTTCCATTCGTTTAAAAGTGGTAACTCAATTCAATGTTCATCTATCAGTATTCTGGTAGAAAACTTTAGAAAAGAAGTAGCAAGACTTTAGACACTGGCAAGGTGTATTCTAGAATGAGGCATTGGGGGATTTCCATGAAAACAATGCTGTCAGTGCGCTCTTTCCACCGCAGAGGCTTCTTTCTGTCGTGGGGAGGGAAAAAGAAGGCGCGCTCGCGACGTCCCTACGCGCTTGCTACTTTGTTATTATGGATACCCAGCAAGAGCCTCTGTGGAGGAGAGAGGTTAGTGAGACAAAAAAGGGGCGCAGAAATGATCTGAAATAAACGTAGAACGTTGTTCATATGGGTAAGAATCGATCTCGTGGCGTGATTAATTATCACTCTAACTCTTAAATCTGAGGGCGAAATCCCATAGTGTCACCGCTCAAATCAAACCTGTTTGGTAAAACGTTCGCATAGTACTACATATTTCTTACATTTTTAATACAAAACGAAATTTGAATTTCCGCGTGAATTTTTTTTGGGCGACAATTAGGTCTATTAGAAGTGAGAGGGTTCTAATTTTAAAAAGTCGAAAGATACCGTTACTGAATAGCCCTTCCCTATTGTCTAACCGTAAAAAGAAAAAAAACATTTAACAATCTCAGATCCCATACATTAAGAAGACGGGCTCTGTTATTCAGTTATATCTGTGTCACTGTCTTACGCGCTAGTTGGCTTATCGTGTTCTTATCAACAGTACAAGCGGGTAAAATAGCAGAATGATGACAACCGTATTTTCTCTGATGATAAGCGCGCATGCTCCATTAAGTGTTCTCCCGTTAGACCATAATATCATACAAGCACCCCCCCCGCCACCCTTCCCCTCGAATAAGGGCCCCTTCCTCACTTTCTTAAATAGTAGCAGGAGCAGATTAGTAATCAGCTCCTAATAGTAGGGATGGAATGGGAATGCGAAGATCCGTATGTCATTGTAGAGGATGATTTCGATGGATGATGAGATAATCGATAATTTATAAACATGTACGCATACCGATACATTTGAGAGTTAACCCTTTGAGTCCCAATCAATCTGAGTCCAAATAGTGACCAACATCAATTTTCTCCTAACAATATCAATATTTTGCCAAGAAAAATGCTTATGAGAGTTAATAAAATAATCACTAATGATCACTAAAGAGACAACTTACCAACTAATTCTTTAAGGGAATGTATGAAGATTTATATGTGGATATTGGGGCTTAAAGGGTTAGGTGTTTTATAATGGGACCACGGTACGCTTGATTACTGAACTACTGTTCCAGCAAATGAAAGGCGTTTAGTATTACTTTTAGCCCAAACAAAGTTACACTTCGTTGAAAGGAAAACTTTATGAGCGCATCCATCAATCAAGCGCCCTCCTTGCAATAAGCGCCCCCTGTTTTACTCATTAGTTTAAAGCAATTATTCAAGGAAGTACGGTAGTTTTTAAGGGGAGTCGCCAACTTGAAGAATCGCATTTCAGTTCGGACTGACTTTTTAAAAGCGTCAAAGAGCTGGCGCGCTTACATGTACCACTGTAGTTAATCATATCAATCTTTTGCAAGTAAAAATAACGAGATGTGTATTCCGCGTGCTCTGGAAAAGATCAAGGCATTCTAAGTATATGTTGACTTTAACTTTACCAAGAATCACAAATTATGGCCGACGTAAGTCTATTTGTTACCAAGCTGCAAAAATTTTGAACTTGTTCTAAGAAAGTATGAGAACAATAGAATCAATAAATGATTTTAAGAGAGCCAGAAAAAATGACCTTATAGTATTTTGGAGTCCTAATTATGTATTGTAATAACTCATTAGATTTCATAATTTTAGTTATTAATTATGATTCATTCATTTATTTACTTGTTTTTGTCTAAGATATTACCTCAATAGAGCTACTCTGGTACTTCGAGTTAAAAATAAAATGTATGTATGTACCGCTTTTCAAGAACGTTAAAGAGAGTTAAGCAAAGAACGGAGCGACTTGACAGGAAGCAGGCTTAAAAGGAGAGGGGACAATACGCGCATGTTTCTACCTCTAAATAAACGTTAATTCACGAGTAAACTCTCTCGGGTCCGCGGTAAAAATTAAAGTATTTTAAACTCCTTAATGCATCGTAGTAGCTCTCAGGTAAGGAAAATGACCCTTGATGACGTTACAGAGCAGCACACACTGACACGGGGTTAACAGTAAACCCATCACCAGATCCTCCAAAATGACGGCATCAGCCTGGGTACCCTGTTGCACATAGGACAAAGCTTATTACGCACTGCAGAAGAGCGCATCCATATGATTGAATTGATTCTTTCTCCGCTCTGAATTGGTAAGGCACCATGTATGTGCTGTCCTTGATGAAGAAGTCCATAGGTTGGTTTGTGTTCACACTGGGTGCATTCTGTTTCCTTCAAGGGAACCTAAATTCAATGAATGCGTCACAAATTAAAACCGTTAGTGAAGGAAGAGGCTCTGGATGTTAAACATCAACAAACACTTCAGCAAACTATGAACAGTGTGAACACCAGACAAGGAATATCAAGTTAAGATGCAGGCCCCGTGCCGGGGGGTAATCCCGGGAATTCTTGGTGGGGTGTGCCGCCCGGTTCTCCAAATCCTGACCCTATTTCAAAAAATGTCTTTATTCCAAAAAATGTCTTTTTCTACACCCGTTTTTAGACCAGACTTTTAAAATCCATGATAGGGTGATACTCGGTAAAGAAATATCAAAAAGAGTCAAATGTTTTCAAATCAGCTATTGAAGTACGAGTGTCACGCATCCCTGACGGTTTTTCCGTTTAACATTCATTTATAAAATCCACACAAGTTTTCAGACCTCGACTTAACGCAGAAATTATCTCATTACTTCTTAGATTAGAGCGCAAACAAAAAATTTCTTTAAATGCATAGGACCCCGAAATGCCCCGTTTGACTTTCTTTTAACACTCAACAACTTTTCTAAATATGACGATTATCATTTATTTTATAACAATTGTACGTTAAAATTACCAATTTATATGCTTCCCTTGTCTCCTTCTTCCTCTTCCTCAGAATCTTCCTCTTCCTCCTCCTCCTCATATTCAAGAGGAGAAAAACAATCTAGCCACAAGGTACAGGATTGGTACGTCAAATCCAAATTAGTTAAGGAGGAGTTGACTGCACGAGCCTGGGAAAGAGACGCAGCTCCAGAATCACCAATACTGTTCAAACTCAAATCCAAATTAGTTAAGGAGGAGTTGAATGCAAGAGCCTGGGAAAGAGACGCAGCTCCAGAATCACCAATAAAGTTCAAACTCAAATTCAAATTAGTTAAGGAGGAGTTGAATGCAAGAGCCTGGGAAAGAGACGCAGCTCCAGAATCACCAATATCGTTCAACTTCAAGTTCAAATTAGTTAAGGAGGAGTTGAATGCAAGAGCCTGGGAAAGAGACGCAGCTCCAGAATCACCAATACTGTTCCGCCACAAATCCAAATTAGTTAAGGAGGAGTTGACTGCAAGAGCCTGGGAAAGAGATACAGCTCCAGAATCACCAATACTGTTATAACTCAAATTCAAATTAGTTAAGGAGGAGTTGACTGCAAGAGCCTGAGAAAGAGACGCAGCTCCAGAATAGCCAATACTGTTGCCATGCAAATCCAAATTAGTTAAGGAGGAGTTGACTGCAAGAGCCTGGGAAAGAGACGCAGCTCCAGAATCACCAATCCTGTTCCCACTCAAATTCAAATTAGTTAAGGAGGAGTTGACTGCAAGAGCCTGAGAAAGAGACGCAGCTCCAGAATAGCCAATACTGTTGCCATGCAAATCCAAATTAGTTAAGGAGGAGTTGACTGCAAGAGCCTGGGAAAGAGGCGCAGCTCCAGAACAACCAATATCGTTCCCAGTCAAATCCAAATTAGTTAAGGAGGAGTTGACTGCAAGAGCCTGGGAAAGAGACGCAGCTCCAGAATCACCAATACTGTTATAACTCAAATCCAAATTAGTTAAGGAGGAGTTGACTGAAAGGGCCTTGGAAAGAGTCACAATGTCATATCTCCAAATTAATGGTTCCAATTTCAAATAAGAAATGTGAAGGTGCTCCCCTAAGGTGCAAATTAAACTTTCGTGTTTTGATAAACAACCTAAAGAATATTCAAGACGCTCTGAAATGTCTCTCGCAGACTGAAGACTTGTGATATATCTAGCCATATACGTTACGAGAGACTGTGCGGTTTTCTCACTTGTTGAAACTAAAATCCCGATCGTAAATAAAAAGACTTGATATAGTTCGTTCTCATATCTTTGGTCAGTCACCACTGATTCGCACTCAATTTCTCCCTGAATGAGTTTGTAAGCAAGATAGAAACCAGAAAAGAACTCTTGAAAGCTCTTATGAAGAAAGGAATAACGCACAACAACTTTCCTCTTACTGCCACCAGCCTGATGTGAAAGGAATCCGAACTTGGATAAGACAATGAGGCCACCGTCAGATTTATGTTCTTCAAAGTACAACTCTCCTTTTAGAAGAGATTCTAATGCCATTCTTCCAAGATCTATTAATTCTTTTTTGTAAACGGTCATCAGGTCTTCATTCTTGCTCGCTAAACCTTGCTTTTGTTCATATCTTCTTAAAACACAAAGAACAATCTCCGTATACAATTCAGTTCTACTCGTTGGAAACACGCCCTCAAAATCCTCACATATAACACACAGTAAGGCAGTGTTTAAGGGATTTTTTGTCAGTTCACTCAGGTCTCTATCCTGTTGTGACGCAAATAGAAAGGGCACACGCCATATGCTTTTTATAAGTTTCCAGGCTAAGTGCTCTTTGTCGATGTTTTTAAAGTATTTAAGAATAAAGCTTTCTGCATCCTCCCTAGTAAATCCTTCAATTTCCCACAGAGTGTCACAGTACCTCCTTACTTTACTTCCAGCCTCATGACGAGATGTGACAACAATGTAGAAACCTGAAAGTTCTTTACCTTGAATAAGGCTGGAGAGTACTTTGATGTTACTAGGATCCACTTCATCCAATCCATCGAGAACTAAAAGAACTTTCGACTGATTGTCGCGAATGAATTTAAAGAAACATTCCTTAGCTTGATCTTCCATTTCCTCGGGTAAAATTTGATCATCAATAGCCTCCCAGATGTTGTATTGATCATGAATTTCACTACACTTGAGAAGGAGTAGCACTTCAATCTCTGGAAATGACGGGTCCCATTCGTCCTGCTTAGTTGCCCAATCATACGCCAGCTTTTGACAGTATGTGGTTTTTCCCATGCCAGGATCTCCCTCGATCAAGACTGTTCGCGGGCTTTGACATTCTGCGTGCGCCTTAAAGATAGCAGTCATATTGGTTATCTCGTCGGTAAGTACTCCTCGGGACTTTTCTTTACCGAGGATTTTTAGTCTAGTAAACATATCATTCAAATGAAAGCTGAAATCTTCACACCAAGGTACAGGCAGAACGCGTTGTTCACGTGTTCTATACAGCTGACGGATCTTCTCTAAAATGTCACTTGGGTATGACAAATCTATAAAGATGAATATTGATACACGCTGCATTAAACGTTATCACGTATTTAATCAGTTTGTTTGTATCAGTATATTATGGAAGGCGCATGATTCAGGACATATGACACACTTCGAGAAGCACTTTGTGATTCTATTTTCAGTCCAATCAAAAAATTAAAAAAAAAACGCATGGAAATATCCTGACCTCAATTTCACTACAGCACTGGAATTAGCGAGATACAGGCCCGGCATTACCGTATGGTCAGTTGTGGTCAATTAATAAGCTAAGTCAAACTTTTGTTTGCGGAAAGTCCGAATCGATGAAAGTTCTCTCAGTTACAGCATACTAGTGTTTCATAACGACGTCAGCAATGAGTAAGGAGTGTGAACACAAGAGTTCATCTTCTTGGCTTGACAAACACTGAAAGCCAAGTCACCTAAATCGTTAACGCCTAGCGCAAAAGTCAACTGTGACGCAAATCTTTGAATTCGTGGTCTACCTGCGTCGGTAGTAACACAGCCTCTGGAGACAAGATTGGTAGTCTTAAAGGGTATCTATCACTGATTTGGAACGGTACAATTCGCCCTTTTTAGTGGTGGGGGGAGGGGCGGGGGGGCAGGGGATTTTACAACAGAGGGGTTGTGGTTAGATGTATATCATGAACTCGTACCTATAGATCTAGAAGCCTTCAGATCTTCCATGGTCCTTCTTGATTTTGTTCTGATTTCGTCGTTCTCCATCATGTACCCTTCATTACCCCTCTTATTCCTTTGAAATAAACACTCATCTGGCAAAATAAAAAATAGTAAGCAGCGGCCGTTAGATCTTCACAGTTATATTCACTGGGGTGGGAGACCGTCCGTCAGTTGATAAAAAAAGCATTCTCTATCACAGGCTTTTTATCAGTATGTTTAGAAGGTCAATAATGAACCTTTGTCAACTGACATAATCTTAGATAACGTATGATCACCTAGCAATAATACAGCACCAAAGATGGAGTGATGAAAGTGACATGCGAATATTTTAAACCGAAACCTCTGAAATTTTTTTGGACACGTTGTGAGTAATGGACGTTACAGTCCGCTACTCCAGGAAGTAGATTGCCTGCGTCGCAGACGCTCGAAACCTACTGGACAATATAAATGGTTTAGACGAGTGCGTGGGCCGGGTGTAACGCAGGCTAGGAAATAGAATCCCTTTTAAAAATCTTTGAATACCTTTTTGTTCCCTTTGCAGTATGCAGTATAATTATGGTACGTATAACTCGAGAAAGACCGAGGGGCCGAGCGCCTTAAAACTGGTAATTTACAAAGGGTAAGACGTGTTCACCATACACCATGAATAAGCTCTTCTTATTATAATAATCATCTCTTAGTGTAAAATCGCAAAGCCAATATTTGCTTACGATTCCAGTCACTCAGTATAAAGCGTGGATATTTTACTGTGAACTGCTTCAAACTCGCCTGCTCGACATCACACTCACTTCTTCTCAATCACAACCATTAAGCTAAACAGATCACACTTTGTTGCGTCTGAAAATCTGAAAATATCCGGCTCAGTAGGATCTACTCCTATGAGTATAGCTAGGATATTTGAAGTGAGGAAAGGCTATTAAAAATTCAGAAGGAAATGATTTTCTCCGCATTAACAAAGGCGATTACACTATTAAGAAATTTATTAGGATGATTTGTAGAAAGAGAATCCATGCGAAGACAGTTACTGACTCTCACTTCTCTTGAACACAAACACCACACTGCAGTGCAGGGCTGATATCTGCAGCACATTTTCCACCAGTCAAACAAACCTGGCTGATTGCGACAGAGAAGAGACTAGAATTTTACCTTTTCTGGGCTGAAGACTAACATAGTGTAACTCATGAATGTGTCCCAACACAAGAGGGATTGTGTCAGCAACTGCTTGTTCTGGATGGACAACTATTTCACGATCAAGGCTGCTGATAATACGGATGACAGTTTGAAAGCGATTTGCTGCAGCAAACAGAACTACGTGATCACCCCAGGTACCGTCTTTCGCCATGCTTAGTAAATATTCACGCCATGATGGGTAGCCAGAAACAAAGTTGAATAAGGATGTTCCATCATGCTAAAAAAAACAACAACAACAATCAAGCAAGTGAACTTTAAGCTTTTAGCTGATGAATCAGAATACAAATGGAGTGAATTTTGAGTTAACTGATGACAACAACAGGTCAGAAAGTGTTGCAAAAAATGATATATTTAGAGGTACAGCCAACTATATAACCTCTGAAAATACTTTTTCACTTTAATGATTGGTGGTCTTTCAAAAGGAAAGCTTTCATGTACCGTGCAAAACTGAGCACACACTCTCAGGTGATTACCTTATTTGAGAAATTCTTGGCCTTATGATATGTTGATATATTACAGTGCCGGATCCAGACCTTGAGATAAGGGTGTGTGTGTGTGTGTGTGTGTGTGTGTGTGTGTGTGTGGGGGGGGGGCATGAACCTTAGATAATGGGGGCAGTCTCAAAATGTTTTGGTTTGGTCTAAAAATAAGAGGGGCGGGCCCCTCGGACCCCTCCCCTCAATCTGCCACTGTATTAAGTTAAACCAGATGCTCTAAAACACTTTCCCCTATTTCAAAGATGCCAGTCCTCTGGAATCTAATATCTGGACATTGTCTCTTTTTTGCAGTACACCCCTTCCCCTTACAGGTTCAAATCAACAAAGTTCCCAAATCATAACATGGTTAATGGCTCAGGATATTATCAAATTGGCTTTATAGTCTTGGATTTTATAGGAGACACTAAAGGCCTCTGCCCTTTTTTTCCCAGCATGATGAAGTTAAGCAATTACATCATCATCATCATTGCCTCACCAGATTAGCATTCTCTCTGAGAAACTGGACCAAAGTGTTTCTTAGTTCTTTGTGTGAGATTTGGATTCCTTTAACACTTTTCAGTTGCTCTGACAGTGCATAGAACAAACAGTTCCCAGATGCTTGGTTATCAGAAACTAAGAATCCTTTCTTCGCTGCAACCGTTCTCAGATTAGATGGTAGGATGGTTTTGTTGCGAACCTGGTCTGCATCAAATGGCAAATTTTGTAAGGATGGAAGGATGTTCTCATCTGGAAAAATAAGATAGTTGTTTTTACATTTTCAATAGTTTGATAGGTGTGCACTGAAGCAAATTTTATTGATTATTTTCATGGGACATGATAGACTCTCTCAAAGTCCTTTGCTTCTTCATTCCGGTAGTAGTCTCTTGCTCACTTTGCCAGTGAAAGCATAAAAATACAGACACACAATGCTCAGTACAAAATATTGGCAGCAAACTGTATGAATCCTATTAATAATAAGTTGCTTGTCCAGCAGGAAAATCTACTTGTCATGGACTAATGAACAGGACTTTTTTTAGCCCTGTATAATCATAGATAGATGTCAATCAGTGACAAAATTGTAGAGACATTCAACTCAAAAAGGGGAACTTCAGAGCAAAACAATCCACACCCCTCCCCTTCCATTCAGAGTTGGGGTATTTAGTAGGCTTTTGCACATTATGCTTTTGCTTCCCTACTAAAATGCTCCACCTTAATGCTCCATTTTTCCCACTAAAATGCTCGGTCTCCCCAAAAAAGTCACTAAAATGCTCGGATAATGCTCATTATACAAACGGTTTTTTTCAATTAATTTCAAAGTTTACACTTACAAAACTGTGCAAGTGTTGCAAGTAACAACGACAACGTGTACAAGTTCATAAATACAGCCAAAGAAACCAGCTGTATTAGGTTTTTTGTGAATTTTGAATTTTAGTCTTCATTTTGTTTAAAAAAGCAGGAGCTCATGGGGCATGGGCTCCTGAAAAAAGCTAATTTCTATTTTATTTTCTCGGAAAAATTAATTTTCCGGGGAAAATGCCACTAAAATGCTCAAATAATGCTCAATGCTTTTGCCTCACTAAAATGCTCGAAAAAATGCTAGCATAATGTACAAAAGCCTTAGTATTTAGTGTTTTCTACAGGTAGCTCGGAGAATGGTACAACAAGCTTTATTTTCCGTTTTTGAAGTTTGTAAGATGTTAGAAAGGCCCTTTAGGGCAAATTGTCTGAACTTATTTTGTAGGCATGCGTTAATTAATTATTATTACTATTCATTCAAAATATTTCCCCGACTCTGATTGGCTAAAAGCACAGGTTTAATTCACCATAACCAGTTACTGATGACCAAATTTGAAAGAATTTTGTGTTTAACAAGGAAATGACGTCAAAAATGCAGCGTTCGTGCAGGTTAAGGCACCGTTCACTGAGAGGACCTGGGGACGAGGTTGAGTTGTTTTGGTTGTCGAAACAAAAATGGCGGTCATTTCACTCGTTTCAAGAGTAAGAACTAGGCGAAAAAATAGCTAAAAACATGGCAAGAACAGCAAGAAGACAACTCGAAGGGTGACATCTGCTATTTGGAGAATATTTGCAGAGCTGGACAAACCTAAACGCGCACTGTCGAAGATGAACTTAACATCGATGGATCGATGGACGTAAGAATGTTTTAGCCATGTTTTTAAATTAGGAATTACTTTGAATGAATAATAAAACAATTAATGAATTCGGCTTTCGTATCATATGAAGAATTATGGAGATCGAGGAGGGGGTTATCCGTTGACGCCCTAGGCCGAGGCGGATAACACCCTCCGAGATAAGATACTTAGCCTCATTCATTAATTGTTAATTAACACATGCCCTGTTTTGAGTCCAACTGAAAAAACATGGAAATATCCTGATGTCAGTTTCGTTGCAGCACTAAAGTTAGTGGGATGTGGACCCACTATTACCTCATGATCAGTTACCAGTATATCCTAAACAGCTTACAATAATTGGAATGTTATTGTTCATGCCAAAAAGCCTGGTTAAACTACATGTATTCAGTGGTGTGGAGATGAGACTATGACCTATTTCATGCTTCCATGCAACAAGGAAAAGCTGAACACAGGTATCAAAGACATCAAAGGCTTCATCTTTAAGCCTTACATTTAACTCACATTAATCAATAATTACTGGGGGCAACAAGAGGAGCACACAGTTCTAATCTACAGGTTGAAATGACGTATGCACAGCACTATGTAGCCAGCTTCTAACAGCTACATTTGGACTCCACTAAAAATGAATGGAACACACAGAACTGGCAATCCGATCTCATGTGTTTTGACTACCTATCACGTGAAACTTGCGTAAAGCACAGAATTGAAGAAAGACTGAGAGCGTGGTAACTTTGAGTCGCTGTCGCCCACACTCATTGATTATTACTAGTTAAATTTATACCTAAAAGAATGCTTACTAAGATTTCTGTTAATTTTTAGGAATCAAGACTGCCGAGCAAGTGGAGCCAAGATGCTCTGAATCTTTGATACACCCAATTCAATTGAGGTCGCTTTGACAATATTGGTCATTAGCGATTGGGCATTGGGTATTTGGGCGTACAGAACAATTCGATGATTTGCTTGAGTGACCACCAAACAATAGCTTCTCAGTGCCCAATTATCAATGCCCAAAGCAACCTTTATTGAGTCAGTTATATAAACAGCAAGATCAATGCACACATATATAATACTAAAGCTAACCTGACACATTAAATTCACTTTCGAGTTCACTCAGCTTGTCTTTGATATTGTCCTCCACTTTCTTCCACTGCTTTAGAAGTTCCCTGAAATGTTCTTCCTCCAGAGGGTCCATTTCCTGATCCCTTATTTTGTCAATGGCTTCCCCATAATGGGCTCCTCCCAATCTCAACAAAGTGTCACGAATCTGCTGCCAGTAGTTACTAAACACAGCATCATTGATGAAGCCCTCTCCAGCATGTTTAGACACAGCATTCATGAAACATTTAACACGGGCAATGTCAGACTCACGACTGGTGTCTGCTGTGAGAGGAGGTGTGTCCCAGCCAGCGGGTGGAGGACTCAGATTACAGATTGTCCTTAAGAGCACTATCAAGAGCGGGATATCAAAGCTTGCAGATGTCACTTCAGAGGATGAAGAAGGATACAATTTACTCCACTGGAGTGAGTTTAACACCCCTCGCTTTCGAAGTAACAAAAGTTTAGAGTGTGCTTGATGTTTCAAACACCTATGAAGACTCTGTGGTGGAATTATTTTGTCAAAGGTTGCCCTGAGTGCCTTTGAACCCAAGGTGATTAGAAGACGACATAAATGGGGATAATTTAATCCCTCATTAGTGCAAGCAAAGTGAGTTGATTCAGGATCTATAAGGCAGAATGACAAAAATTCATTAATCAAAATTTTCACTTTTTATGGTTGCTTTAAGTAATTAACTGTTGCCAAATTCTACAAGCTTTTTAACTACAGGGTTTGTGCAGACTTATTCCAAAACAATACTTTACTTTTCCAGATAATTTCGAGGTTAACCAAATTAATAGGTGATCTCTAAACACCTTGAAAAACACCAGATCCAAGCTTTTTATGATGCACTGAAAACATATGGTAAACAATTGCAAGGTGCAATGTGGACATTCTGTGATTAAATGTCTTCAATACAGGGGAGATTGAATAGAAATTGACCACAGGGAAAAAATCACTTATTAAGCAATTGTTGGATAGCTATGAAATAAAGGTCCAGAGTTTTTACTATTTTTCCAGAAACTTTTTTCTATTTTTCAAGACCTTTCCCAGGTGTTACGGGTTATGGGTTTAATTGACAACCCTGCAAATGGCAACTGGAATTAAGGCTTTTACCTCTTAACATGCCATGACACTACCATGGGTCTACCATAATATTTTGTATTATTAGGTGTCTAACCCTTATAGAGACAATTTGTTGAGTAAAACCACTGTCCACTCCTGGTTGCTGTCTGTCACCCAAAAAACCACTTTTAACCAAGCTCTCAAATGTATGATGGAAAATATTTTTTTGAAGAAAAAAAGAAAAATAAATAAATAAATAATAAAATGATAACAATAATAATAAATTTAATAGAATTCAATTCATTTTTAAACAATAACAAGACGCCTAAAGTCGTTTCCGTGGGATGCGTTGGTCTATGGAAGAATAATGGTGTTCTATATGAATTTGGAAAAATTAGGGAAACCGGAAAGATGTGTCATGTTATGAGCATCGATGAGTAGATGACTGATTAATATAGTAGCCTGCATGGCAGACTAGTATTTCTCCCCAATCCACATCCCCATTTTGCTTCCTCTCTATCCCCTACCCCTATCAACACCTGTTACGCAAGCTAAATTTATAGTTGTCAGTGTTCGCAAGGATGGAGTTGATCTTGTTTTGATCTATCACTATGTAGTTATTTTCATAGCATCGATTTGGATAAGAAAAAGAAGTTATTTTACGTCAAAACAAGGTTTACCCGTGTAACTTAAATTGGAATCTTAACGGAAACACAGGTAACTTTTTCAAAGAGAAATAAACATTGTAGTTTTAGGTTAATGGAACAAAACAAAACAAAACATCCGCTTGCTTTATCCACGGTCGAACCCAGGTTACAAAGTTCGATAAAGTTCCAATGTTTTAATCCAAGATGAAAGTTTAATATTCCAAGATGCTCTTGACACGGTTAAAAATTAATTGCAATGTGTTTCCAACGTCTCAAAGTTAACATAGTTCCAATGATTATCCCTGATTCCAAGGTATAATAAGTTTACTAAGGTCCACTCCTGATCCGTGTCCCATCCAGAAGTCCAATCCATGTCGAAAGCGAGTCGTCGATCGACGAGGACAATAGAGAGATTAAGATTCACGTTTACGGCAAACGGCAAACGTCAGACTTAAGCTTAGAATTTCTCAGAATAGAAAATAAGCCGATAAAAACTGTCCAGAACAATTCCTACGGATAACACTGGCGTGAAACTATTTCGTTTTGAGTAGAAGTAATAAACAGTACACGACATTTAAGGGAAAAACTTGGTCACGTGGTACAAATTCACGTTTGCCGTTTGGCGTAAATGTGAATCTTAATCTCTCTAATATTTTCGCGATTTCACCGCCAATCGTCAAGGGTACGAGTTGAAATTTACGCGATTTAACCTCCCATCATCAACGTGTTGTCGATAAGAAAAGAAAAAAACTGAACTCTAGCTGTGCTCGGCAAAAACTGGCGAACCCCGAATCCGGGCCCCGAATAGAAAAATCTATCGGAAATCACGGCCCGCAACCAGACGCTACTAAACGATGTATAAGCGCTATATAAATTCCATTATTATTATAAGTCCTTATGAAAAAGCTAGACCTAAACAAAAAAGAATCATGAAGGAAAGAAATAATTTCGTTTAGGTTGCCTTTCGTGACTTGTCAGTATCCCGAAGGATTTCGCTGGTTAACAAGCCATCCTAAAGCACGAGTGGGAAAACTCTAGCGCGACAAATTTGGCAACGAACGTTCTGATTTCAACGTTCTTCAGACGAAACAAATCGATTAAAAATCGATACAGATTTTGTACAATCTGATTGGTCGGCTTGGAAGAAGAGCTAATCGATAAAGATTTTAGGCAATCCTATTGGCTGGCTTTGCAAAGTTGGGTACAACCGAACCGGATTTTTACCGTGGGAGTGCCACAGGCATCCCACGGAATAATAATATTTATTACTTGACATTGTGCAAATTAATAAAGTAATACATGATTAGAATAATGTACATGATCAAATTGACATTCATACCATGAACCCAACTGATCATCTTCTCAATAAGATCTTTTATCTGCATGGCCCAGTTGTACTTTTCGTCAAAGGAATCACGCAACATTTTCGCTTCCTCCAGTCGACTTTTCCTGTCCTTGGCCCAGATTTTCTTAATAGCTGAGGTCCAATCTGCGGGTTCATCTGAGTTAACAACATATGTTGAACCAAAAGGTACACCACAAAGAGCTTCTCCAAAACCAGAGTTGCCGCTGACAAGCACAGGGAGACCAGCTGACAGGGCCTCAAGTCCTGTCAATCCAAAGCCTTCTGTTCTTGAAGGCATGATTGCAAGATCCACTTCTTTAAACAAGTCCTTCAAACTCTCCCTTTCTTTAACAAAACCTCTAACTCTCAAACGCCTTGCAGGAACACCACATTCAGTCAACCGTTTTGCTATTTCTTTGTGTTTTCCATCTGGGGCTCCAACAAACACAAGACGAGTATCTCCTAATGCAGCAATCGCTTTCCCGGCTATGTCAAACCCTTTTAATTCAAAATCTTCTACGTCTCCCCGGCCAAACACTAAGACACTACGTTGTTTCCGTTCACTGGGAACCTGCTTTACAGCCGCAAACTCTTCAAATACTCCAGGAGTGAAGTCAAGAACAGTGTCATCTTTTCTACAGCTACGTAGATATGAGCGAAAGGCCTCACTCAACTTGGGTCCAACTCCTACAACATGATCTGCCATTTTACACAGTTCTACTTCAGTCTTGTGCTCTTCTTCGCTCTTTGAGATTGGGTTGGAATAGTTTTTAAACATCTCAAGTTCTTCAGGGTCTGTGTGCACCACTTGAAGCCATTTGCATTTTTTAGATTTTTTTATGACTTGTGCTTGTTTACCAAGTTTAACTCCATGACCCACAATAATATCAATTTGCAGATGATCTGGAGGGAAGCTAAGCCACTCCAGTTGTTCAAAGCCAGGTAGTGGTGCTGCCTCCACGATCTTCACATTGTTTTGTAAGGCAACCTTCTTGTCCTCTTGACTGCATTGTGGTAAAAAGAAAGTGATTTCCACCTCAGGGCATTTGGCTAACTGAAGAGCTAATTCTCTGTCTATGGTAGAAAGCCCTCCTTTACTTGATCCCCATTCAGAAGCCAATATGGTGACTTTCACTTTGTGAGAGCCGCACACTCGGTCATCACTCATGCCTGCAGTTTAAACTCTTTGTACAGCAAATGCCATTACAGATATCAAATTTGCCAAACATCTACAAAATGATAGATAAAAACAGAGAACAATATATTATGTTAACACTTCCAAAACTTCTACACTACCTAACTTCCAAAATTCCAGCTAGGGTTCTTTTCAGAACACCAAATGGCTGCTGAAAGGCGAATGATTCTGAAGTTTATAGTGATTAGTGTCATTAGTTTGCATGCAGTCTCTTACATGTACACATGCAGACCAGCATGCTCTACACAGCTTGCTTGCTGAAACAAAAGCTTGTAGTGTTTCCTGCACTGCGTGACAATATCCTGATCCGAAACCACAACTGAGTGAATCAGATTCTGTTTAAGGTCATTATATACTGAGCAAACTGACCTGAAAATTGATTCACTCAGTTTCCTTATCCTAATCACTGAACTTCAGAGTGGTTTGTCCACCATTCGGTCCTGTCACCAAAATTCCTAACTTCCATATTACCACACTTCCATACTAGCAAACTTTCACACTTAAACACTTCTGCCACATGCTACATGCATGTATGCGCATGTCTTGAAAATGAATCCACCTTCTGACTAAAGGATAATTAAATAGAAACTAGTGGCAATTTGCATGCAAATTTCATGCTTTCTGAATACAAATAGATTCATTCCAAGTATTAATTACATAAAAAATCTACTCATAGTCATGATCTCACATTTAGCACTTTTATCACAGACTTACGAATACGCATAATTTGATAAAAAACACCACACTTTCTATAAATGCCCATGGCAAGCAGCATTTCAAGCAGACTGTCTGCAGTATACTACTAATAATAAATAGACTTAATTAATGTGTCAAATGCCTAGCTTACTCGGAGTGTAAACTAATAATGTGGACACCTAACTACCTAAAAACGAAAATCAAACAACTAAAATAAACAAACTCGGAAAGCCTGCGACTGATCTAAGCGCTCTTTCTTGGAGACTCTCAATCTTCCGGCTATCAGATTTTCTACAAAAGTGCCATACCGTCTAACAATAAGTTATTTGTGGCAAAATCAAAGATTTGTAAATTCTAACCTCTGCTAACGTTGGTATTACATTTTTTAGTCTCATCATTACCCCTATTTTCCTAGATACTCTTTTAGATAGCTCCTTCAAGTGGCTAGTAAACTTAAGATGCTCATCAAAAGTGACACCCAACAGCTTCTTTCTACATATTTGTCAAGGACTTTGATTTTCATTCCTTCGTTTATATGTACCTCATTTGTAAGGATTACAAACTTACCAAGAGTTTTCGTTCGTTCATATCGTGAACTTGAGATTACAAAGGTAACACCAACGTCTAAAAATCGTAATTTTTTTCGTGTAGAACTATTAACAGGGACACTACTTCTGTACTCGACACACCTCAGAAAACCGAATCAAAGACCAAAAGCGGAAGACGCTCTTCACAGTTCAGTGACCGACATATCTGGAAAACTAACACCCATACTGAACTGCGGGCGGTATCAGGCGGTATCACGCGATCTCTGTTTGGTCACGCACTTCGGTACCCCAACATTCACTGCGGTCAAACGTTAAGGTCAAACGAGGCCAGCGCTTCAGGGCGGAAAAACATTCTGCGCAAGCTTCTGCGCATCCCCCTTATCGCAGGCTCAAGGCGGGCTTTTCTGTGTGTTGACTGTGTTTGTTTGTTGCTGGAGTTCTGAGTGAAATGCACGAGGTGCGAACGTTTGCTTCCTGTAAAGCATTTTTATTTGAAATGTTTGCTTTTTTTCGTCGCTTGAAAATTACTTTGGATTCAGAACAACCAATGTTAAAGGAAAAACGGATCATTCCCTCAATCTGAGGTGGAATAAAAGGTTTTGAACATTTCTTACGAGGCGAGTATTTTTCTGATTGTGCATCCGATTATTATTAGTTCATGAGTTGATTTCGCCGGGTTGAATTAAAACCCGCTTGTATTCTGTTATTAGTAGTTACGGTTACTTTTTTTACATGCCCAGATTTATTACCTTTGCAGAACCAGCTTTATCTTTGTTTTCAGTGAAAGAACCATATTGCTGTTTTAACGCATCAGAGTGAACAAACCGTTGTGCGCTTATTAAAATTTCTCGGAAATAGAAGGCCAGCAAGCTTACTCAAGATCATTTTTCTGTTGCTCAAGTAATAATAGTCAGAGTTTTTTTCATTTTTCATTACTAGGACATAGTTTTGCATTGCAGCGCACTGTGAAAGTTTCTGTTCTTTATAAGAGTAACTTTCTGTACGCAAATTGTCCTTTTCACTCGCTGTGAAGTAGAGAACGACAACTGCGTTAAACTTCAAAAGAATTGACTCTTTTCCCGTAAACAATTGCTGCAGCTTGATTTGACTGAGGCGAGCAAAACAAACCCATGTTATGTGCAATTTTCTGTATTTTCTAATGATCGGCTGAGTTTAGTTTGCTTAAGCGAAGACCCTCGCATGGACCAGTTAAGCTTATTGAAAATAGCTAAATAGTGGAGCATGGCTTGGCTGCCAAGTTGCAACTGATCTTTAGGTATAGGTTGTTTTCGCACAGAAAATTCATTTCTTCATTGTCACCAAGAAGTTTTTGAAATAATGTAACTTTAACTTTGTTTGAAGGAAATCCTACTTACGCGTAGGTTTTTGACAGATGTTTAATGCCTGTTCAACTTGACAACGCAAAGCAGTTTTTATATATCTGCGCGAAACGAGCAAGTTTAAAAAACTATAGTTGCTTTGAAACCGATTTTTGGGAAGATTTTACTAGATAAAGATTGACCTTTTTTCTGCCCACATATCAACGCAATAACTTCTACATTGAGGATTTTGTTTATATTTTAGTGATCTGCGAAACTACGAGTGTCCGATCGAGCGAGGGTTTTAAAATATCAGCTCGAGTGCGACAAAGTTCAGTGACTTCAAACACATTGTGGGCAAGCGTTATTTTTTTTGGGCAAATCACTGTCCAAAGATATGTTGTTTTTGTGTCCACAGTGGAGCTCCGGGCCTTATATATCCAGGAACTTCCTTATATGAACACATTTTGTGAATGCATCTCGAAAAAAATCGGAGCTACACATGCACATTTCCAGTACAACGCAAGGAAATTAATGTCGTTAAATTCCGTTTTACAATGAGGTTTTCTTCGAGAAAATTGAGTAACGACAAGGTTATAACCACAGCTTGCAACTTTTGAAGACAAATTGCCTGTTCTTTCCAGGTTGTGAGTGGAAACATTTTATTTTTAGGCAATAAAATATTTGAAATCCCGCCATTTTTTCAAACCCGGCCAGGGGATCTGGGCAAAAAAGTTCACGCATGCTCATTACGTTTTTCCGCCCTGAAGGCCAGCGCAACCTTGTCCCAGGGGTCCCAGGGCGCTTTTCCATAGCTCCAAAGCCAGGGAAAAGCGCCCTGGGGACGAGGTTGGACGCGAGAGTTGTCTGTAGCAACAAAAGTATAAATATAAATGCCAAATAAGGCTAAAAGACGGCAAAACATTAATCTTAACGTTTGGTAAATGATTCAGACTTGAAAGGCCTGTAACCCTCCGTGCCGATCCACGTTCCTGATGTCATTAGTTGTAAGGTGGGCGGGGCTGGAAGAAAAAGTTCTACCAAACAGTCATTCAACAGGCCAGAGAAGAACGCAAAGATACTAAAAAAAACCGTGATGTTAACCAGAATGAAACTCTTGCCCATGACCCATCCGTACTTCCTTAAAAATGTTTTTATTATGCTTTGGCTTTTCGTGGAAACCTTCTCCACCTCATCGAAATGAAGCTGAGTACGAATCCAAAAACGGAAACTCGAAGTTTTCCCTCCTGCGCCTAGCCGAACTTCGAAAGCCTTAATTAAGAAACAGGTGACAGAGGGAAACGTATTGCTCGTCTCTTAAGTTTTTTTCGTGTTTGAGACATATTTTGCTTTTTTTGGACAGCTTGCGGGCAGAAACAGCCTCAAGAGTTCCAGAGGCAATTGGGTTTTTACAGAAACTTCTATTGCATAAGGATACTCGATCCCGGCGGTTCTTCTGTCGGAACCATCAATGTATCTTCTAATTTTCAACGAGAGATAGAAAGATGCATTAAATAGACCATCGATTTACAACTTATTGTCGAGTATGGATTGCGGTTTCAAAACGGCGTGATATCAACCCCGTTCCCAGGATTCTACTCCTACCCGAGTAGCGGATACAGTCAAAACATAACCAACCAAGAGGTAACCAAGACTAAGGTGTAACCAAAGAAACTCCTACAAAGCAGTAGTACTTAAGCCTAAGCTAGCGAAGCGATACAGATTACATAATAACTCAACGAATCAAATTACATAACACAAGACTATTGGTAGAAACGTAAGGTTGTTTTGAAAAATAAATTACTTCCAAAAACTACACCGGTGGATAAACGCTTCTTTCAGGTTGATTATACAGCTTTGAAGGCTAAATACAGTTATGACTTGACAAATAAGTTTACGCTCAATAAATATTAACAGGTTTTATACGGTTAGAGAAACTAAGACTAAAGAATCAAGGATTTCTGCATTGGCTTTTCACATTTTTATCAGCGAAAGCAAAATAACTTAATAACAATAAATCCTCTCTTCACAGTTCTAAGTACGCGAGATCATAGTCAACTTCGTTCAAATCAGCTGATAACAAATGTAAAAGTTTTATCTTTTTAAAAATCTTCGTTATTCACAAGTAGGACCAGCATTTTTGGTATTCTTTACCGGGGATACCTATATCATTAGCAATGTGGGTACAGGGATACCCTAGACAAGGGGATAACGGTGGGTATTACGGACTATTATCTCCAGTTCCAATCTCGGCTCTTTTGCTCCTTCCTGTCCTGCCGAACCTGCGTCTCATGTCCAATACTCACGACTTGTTTCGGAACTTGTTCAACTCGTAAAAGTATGATTGCAAGAGGTACAAGTCAGGGGCGGATTCAGACCTTCAGATAAGGAGGGGGGATGGTCATCCAGACCCTAAGATGAAGGTGGGGGCGGTCTCGAAAAAATTTTTTTCGGCCGTTCGGACCTCAGTTTGGTCTAAAAATATTGAGGGCCCCTCCTCTGGTTCCGCCATCACAAGTGGTGGTGAGTATTAGACAGCCCTCGTCAAACTCCACTCGGCTGACTAAACTCGCAGAGCACAGAAATCTGGAGAAATCAGTCTATTGTAAATTGTAAATATCTTATTATCCACTCCCCACAGGGCTTTTCAGGGATAATTTACAACACTGGTTGGGGGACTTTGCCAGACTGCTTAAGGTGCAGTTTACAAGTACTGAAAGAATGAGTAATGATGCCCCCATACATGAGTGTGAAAGTGAGATACACCACTACACCGGGCACTACGTGCCCTACACTTTACGAAGAGTGTGTGGGTTTTTTAACGTCCCACAGATTTATTACATGTGCAAGGGCTTGTGAGACGGGGCCTACGGATTATCGTCCTTATCCGAGAAGACTAGAAAGTCTAACCATTTGCAGATGTTATTACAAAGGCAGCACTTTCTCCTCAGTTATTTAAAGACCCTGAGTGTTGGTCCGGCCGGGGTTTGAACCTACGGCCTCCCGCTCAGCAGACCGGCGCTCTCCCAACTGAGCTAACCGAGCGGCGGTTAAGGCAAGGTCCTTTAACGGTTGAGATAATCCTTTCATTTTTTAAGCGCAAATATCATGGCAATTAGTTTTATTACAGTGGCATACCCTAAAAACGATCATACAGGAGTCTCTAAAACTGGTTTGCCTCTTTTTAGATACTGTACAGTAGCGCATCCAGACCTTCAGATGACGTGGGGGGCGTGCATCCACGCCCTGAGATAAGGTGGGGTGGGGGGGGGGGCGCTCTCGAAAAAAACATTTCTTGCTGTCCACTCTCATTTTAGATCACATTATTTGGGTAAGTTCTCACACTTAACACTAGAACTGAGTTCGGTGTATTTACAACATTCATTTCTCTCCGGCTTTTTCCGCGTTTGTCAAGGCACCATAACAAGCACTCTGGGTGCCTATTCACACCTCTGAACCAAGGGCAAAAGAGTTCGATTTTCAAATTTTCAGTTAAAGATGTTCAAAAACTGACAAATTTCTCTTTGTTACTGATGATGGTAGTGCGACATACTCTCGTAGTGAGCTTGGGTATTAATGGCATTAATTCAAGAGATTACAGTCACGGTTAATTTAATTTGTTGAATCACAATTGTAACAGGGTTCAACGTGTAACGGAAACACTTGTCAAGGAAAAACTAAACGTTTAAAAGTTTAACATGTACCTTGTAATACGTGATACCTTAAGTAAAGCAATATCTAGTAAATGAGGGATACTCTCAGGCCGAATCTCTCCCCAACCAGCTACCAGCTAGGGCATGTTCACTAATATAAGGTTATTGTGTTTCGATCCTTTATATAAGTACGTGCGTATTGTGATTCTATTCTTCCACAATAGAATGATCACGTACGAAGTATAAAATAAATTGATTCGAACTTTAAGACGAACTAAGGCGCCGTGTTTTCATAGTTAAGTCCGCAAGCGAGCTGTACAGGTCTTGCTGTCCACTCTCTGATTTTAGATCACATTATTTGGGTAAATTCTCACACTTAACACTAGAAGTTCGGTTTATTTAACCAACATTCATTTCTCTCCGATCATTTCCACGTTTGTTAAGGCTCCATAACAAGCACTCTGGGGGCCTATCACACCTCCAACCAAGGGCAAAAGAGTTCGATTTTCAAATTTTTAGTTACAGATGTTCAAAAACTAACAAATTTTTCTTTGTTAGTGATGATGGTGGTGCGACATACTCTTAGTGAGATTGGGTATTAGCAACATTAATTCAAGAGATTACAGTCACGGTTAACTTTGTTGAATCACAATTGTAACGGGGTTTAACATGTAACGGAGACACTTGTGAAGGAAAAACTAAACGTTTAAAAGTTAAACATGTACCTTGTAATACGTGATACCTTAAGTAAAATAATATCTAGTAAATGAGGGATACTCTCAGGCCGAATCTCTCCCCAACCAGCTACCATCTAGGGCATGTTCACTAATATTAGACTGTTGTGTTTCCTTTATATAAGCTCGTATTGTGATTATATTGTTTCCAAACTAAGGCGAGTTTTCATAGTCACGTCCGGAGCGAGCTGCACAGGTCTTGCTGTCCACTCTTATTTTAGATCACATTATTAGGGTAAGTTCTCACACTTAACACTAGAACTGAGTTCGGTGTATTTACAACATTCATTTCTCTCCGGCTATTTCCGCGTTTGTCAAGGCACCATAACAAGCACTCTGGGTGCCCATTCACACCTCTGAACCAACCCAAAAGATTTTCAGTTACCGATGTTTAAAAACCGACAAATTTCTCTTTCTGACTGCTACTTAACAAAATTTTATACAGGGATGCTCCGACCCGAGAGGCCAACCCGTTTCTTGTTCATATATGCCATTCAGTTTTTCGTTACCCCTTTCGAATACCGACTGACGAACTGTACCCCTTTCATATACCTAGTTTAAAACACTACTTTCTTTTAGCTACTGTAAATGCAATGTCCATCAAAAAAATAAAAATAAAAAATCACTAAATCACCAAGTTTTCTTGACTTTTTCATAGCCATAAAATGCATCTGTTAGCCCGGCTTTTATACAGACCGATATGACTAATTTCCCCACCCTCCTTTTGTATACTTCAACTACTGCAATCCCTAACCTGAAACCTGAATAAGGTATCCCTTTCGGTCGGAGCCTCCCTGTATTAAATAAATACCCCCCCCGGTAGAGGCCATTATAAGGAGTGCCCCCGGTACTCAGCTGATAACATAATAATGGATTTCACGGAAGACAACGATACGGATGAAATCCCAAAATGTCTTGTAACTTCTCCCAAATTAACCTGTTTCAGAAATTTATTATCTAAGGATATAATTCCCTGATATCGACTTGTGAAAACAACTGAATTAGTTTTGGTTCACGCCATTTAGATACGAATTATATTATTTTCCTTAAATGTTGAATGCAGCGGAATCCTGGTACTTTCAGATTGTCATCAGCAAGGGTACACGATATGACGTTAATCATCGTAATTCAGTTACTGCTCCATCTCTTTCTTACCGCGAAAGCCTGTACGGAGATCCGAGTAACTACAGAGGACAACAGTACTGCAGTCATCGGCAGGAGCAGGGAATGGTCTTTCGATCTCCAGTCAGACATCATAGTGGAACCCCAGGGGTATTTTCACAAGGTCAATCTATCCGTTTACTGCACTAATACTGATCATGCTGGTGCACCACTTCAAAACTGGACAAATAGATACACCGTCATCTGCCTCAATGGTTACGGTTGGGATGTTGCTTTTGATGGAATGAATAGCGAGGGATTGACTGTGGGTGCGCTTTATTTACCCGACTTTACCAAGTACCAGGTACATATCTAGTCCAAATAGTAAAGCCTATTAAGCTCGCGTATCACGCTCCGCCCTCGCGCGCAAACGAATTGTCAAAAAAAAAAAAAGGAAGAAAATCGTCTGTGGATAGGTTAGAGTAAATGTTTTGACTCTGCCTTTGCTACCCTTAGTTTGGCATTCTTTTTGCCGCGAGAATTGGCGAGCAGCAACACTGTGATTGTCTGGTGGGGCCTGGGCGGTAGTACTTGGTTTAAGACTGCCCAAAATGTCCCGAGTCCTCACAGTGATTACTTTTTTACAGAGAAAATCTAAGACACTATGACCCAGGCCTTCTATGAGAGACGTTGCCTTGTCCCAATACAGCGTTTTCCCAGGCCTTCTCGGTCAATGCATGTCGATGACGTATCCGAGGCGAACGGCCGGGAGACTCGCTAGGACCACGCGACTCGAAAGGCGTAACCCGCACAGAATAATGAGGCGTAGGGACTAGGCAATGAGAGATGGACTGATCCCTTCGTGAGGAGCACGATGCACGCGGTTAAAACGTCGAACGCCCGGGAGCACCTGGGAGGGCAGGGATGCCCCACTCGAAAAGGCTGCCCGTGCTTTTCCAGGGTAGAGCTACGTAAGTGAGCTAGGATCAACGATTGGGATCAACGAGTTCAGCCTTGAAAAGAGGTACTTTTCTTGGCAAGGTAAAACATATAAAAGATCAATCTCCTCCCTAGGGCTTTTCCCTAAGAAAATGTGATGGGCGGGAAGTTCACATTTTCCACAACGCTAATTTATTACATCTAAGATTTTAGAGTGCATGAGAGGACACGTGACCAGCCGATGCCATGTGCTTTTCCTGCTCCTCCCATTTTCTAAGGGTAAAGCCCTGGGGACAAGGTTGTAAAAGGGTGAGGGCTTGGGGCTCGGGACAATCCTTCCTTGATGGAGCTCCGTCATTGTCCCTAGCACATACCAATATGCACTAGTCGCTCATCACTCAATTGAAAACGTTATAAAAACTAGTCGACTAGTTCTTTAAAATTAGCGATTGTACTCGATGCGGGTATCAAAAAAGCAATTGGCTATTTCCGAATAACCCAAGTTACCACTCTTTCTCAGAACCAAGGTAAGTGCAATCTGTTCTCATGCAAACAGCTGATGCAAATAGAGTTCAGTATCGCATTTAACTTCTCTTCCATTGTGAAGGGCTTTGGATCTTTCTCAAGCGACTGCCTCCTCGTTGCGTATCTGTGGGAGCTTGTGCAACAAATCTTCCATATCTAATTTACAACTTCCTCAATTGATTCTGGGAAACTTCGCGACCGTCCAGGAGGTACAAGAGGCATTGAACAACGGATCGTTTCCGCTGTGATCAAAAGGTCAATTTGCCGGGAATAGACACCCCAGAATTTCACTACAACATTTACGATAAAACTGGAGCAGGCATCTTAATCGAGTTCACTAACAAGGGGAGAACAGTTTATGATTTCCATATAATTAACCTTCGTAATTATGTTGAACTGAACAATACCGCACACAAGCCTTTGCATTTGGGCGGAGATGTTTTCACACCCCTTGGTCATGGCAGTGGTTTGCTTGTTACCCCAGGCGATTTGACACCTCCTTCCAGACTGGTTCGCACCGCTACGCTGACTCACTTTGCTGATCCGGTTAAGACGAGCGACGAGGCGTAAACTTGGCTATCCATATCCTGAGTACTGTGGATATTTGCCAGCGAAGACTATACCAACTGGATCGTCGCCAAGGACCTTACCCTTAAGGCCATGTACTATCGTACCTACAATGATCTGACTATCTTGACAAGGTACAGTTACAGGGGAAAAAGCTCAAGCTCTCGCTGTCGACACCGGTCGGGGGCTTTAAGGATACCACCGATGAGTTGAAAACTGTTGATGGAGGGCATACGGAACTCTAAGGAACAGAATCCAGAAATCTAATCATACTAATCAAACGTTAAAAGCCACCAAAAAATTGTAAGTAGTCAGGTCTCGCCTGTTTCCTCCTAAGAGACTAAGGTGGGGAGGTGGGGCGTTATGGGTATCTACTGCACGAGTATGTGCGAGTCGAAGATCTGTCAGACGCTGCCTGCGTAGCAGTCGCCGTGTCTAGATCACGATGATGCGCTCGCGTGTCTTTTCTTTGCTGTCGCATGGCGCTAATTCTCCTGGTTGCAAATTAAGCATCCTCTTATCATAAGCCCTTCACGCCAGCGGATTCTGCACACATGAAAATCCCCCACCCCGCCCTAATCTTAAAATTTAGGGAGGACAGAGTTGCCCAAATTTTTCTTTGTAGTGGCAGTCCTGCGAGTAAAACACGCGACTACGCCCGAGGACGCTAGTCTCTGTCAAAGTTGTAGTTTCTCGTATTATCTAAGACCATCGCATTTGTCACCCGAAATCTCAGGTTTTCTTCGCTCGTCTACGCATGTGGAAAAATAGCAATTCGTGGCCTTGATAAATAGTTGTTAATTAAGTTCCTTGCAGGCTTGACCAAGAGAGTAGTTCCGAAGTCTTTAAGAACCGTGGCACCATTAAACATTGAAAAATTACATTAAAGTTAACAGTTTTTTTCGAGTTACAGTTGACAGTATGAGTACCCAAGGTTGAGCCTTCGTATGAGGCGCTTGGAACACCCGTATTAGATCTAAGCTACCCGAAGTTGATCTATTCCCACTTCAACCACCCACGTAAAACTGCGCCCCTTGTACAACTTATGACGTCATCGAATTGCCGGCGAACGGGGGGCGTGACAATACGTTACTCCGGCGCCTGCGAAGGAGACTAACGCTTCCAGCGGTAGCTGTTCGTCAGGGCGAATCAAACTTTCCATTGCCAGCTTTTCAATCGTTTTAAAGTGGAAAATTCACGTTATCAAACTCAATTCAATGTTAATCTATCAGTATTCTTGTACAAAGCTTTAGAAAGACAAAAACAGTAAAACTTTAGACACTGGTAAGGTGAGTTCTAGAATGTGGCATTCGGGGATTTCCGTGAAAACAATGCCGCAGAAAATGTTTGTCAGTGCGCTCTTTCCTCCGCTGAGGCCTCTTTTGTGTCGTGGGGAGGCAAAAAAGAAAGCGCGCTAGCGACGGGCTCTGTTATTCAGTTATATCTGTGTAACTGTCTTACGCGCTACGACCACAGGACAAGCGGATAAAATAGCAGAATGGTGACACCACCATCACAGCGTTTCAGATTGGAAGGTTACCTTTTTTTTTTCTTATGATAAGCGCGCATGCTCCAATAAGCGACCTCCCCTTAGACCATAATATCATGCGAGCGCCCCCCTCCCCCTCGAATAAGGGCCCCTCCCTCACTTTCTTAAATAGTACCAGGAGCAGATTAGTAACTGATAGCAGGGATACAAGGGGAATGCGAAGATCCGTATATCATTGAAGAGGATGATTTCGATGGATGATGAGATAATCGATAATTTATAAACATACGCATACCGATACATTTGAGAGTTAACCCTTTGAGTCCCAGTCAATCTGAGTCCCAATAGTGATCAACATCAACTTTCTCCTAACAATATCCATATTTTGCCAAGAAAATAGTTATGAGAGTTAATAAAATGATCAAAAAGGGTAGTTTTCACTAGCAACGGAGTCGGAGTCGGAGTCGTAAGCGGAGGCGTCAGAGCGCGTAAGTGACCTAAGTCAAAATCAAATATCGGAGTCGTAAGCGGAGTCATAAGCGCGACGGAATCGGAATCAGAAGAATCAAAAAGTTTCCATTTCTTCCGACTCCGCTTACTACTCCGTCGCTTACGTTCCGCTTATGATCTAGTGAAAAACACATTGTCGGAGTCGGAAGCAAAAGCGGAAGGATAAACCAATCACAATGCACGTTCCCTCACTTTGTGATTGGTTTGGTTCTTCTACTTCTGCTTCCGACTCCGACAATCTGGTTTTCACTGGATCAAAAGCGGAACGTAAGCGACGGAGTCGTAAGCGGAATCGGAACGCTGTTTTCACTAGATCATAAGCTCTACGCTTCTGATTACGACTCCGACCCCGACTCCGTCGCTAGTGAAAACCAGCCTTAAAGAGAAAATGCTTTGATCTGTTATCAAACACTCTCAAATAATTCTTTAAGGAAATATATGAAGATCAGTATGGAGAATTTATATGTGGATATTGGGGCTTAAAGAATTAAGTGTTTGATAATGGGACTACGGTACGCTTGATTACTGAACTACTGATTTAGCAAATGAAAGGCTTTTAATATTACTTTTAGCCGACACAAAGTTACACCTCGTTCAAGGAAAACTTAAGCGCCCTCCTTACAATTAGCGCCCCTTGTTTTACCCATTATTTTAAAGCAATTATTCAAGGAAGTACGGTAGTTTTTAAGGAGAGTCGCCAACTTGAAGAATCGCCCTGCAGTTCGGACTGGATTTTTTAAAAGCGTCAAAGAGTTAGCACGCTTACATGTACCACTTTAGTTAATCATATCAATCTTTTGCAAGCAAAAATAACGAGTTGTGTGTTCCGCGTGCCCTGTAAAAGATCAAAGCAATCTCGGTATATGTTGACCAAGAATAACAAGTTATGGCCGACGTAAGTCTATTTGTTGCCAAGCTTCGAGAATTTTGAACTTGTTCTCAGAAAGTACGAGAACAATAGAATCCACAAATGATTTTAAGAGAGCCAGGAAAAAATGACCTTATAGTATTTTGAGCCTTAATTATGTATTGTAACAACTCGTTAGATTTCATAATTTTAGTTATTAATTATGATTCATTCATTTATTTACTTGTTTTCCTCTAAGATATTAACTCAATAGAGCTACTATGGTACTTCGAGTTGAAGTAAAATGTATGTATGCATGTAGGTAGGTGTGTATCTTTGCTTCACAGCCTTTCAAGAACGTTAAGGCCAGTTAAGCAAGGAACAGAGCGAGTTGACAAGAAGCAGGCTTAAAAGGGGAGGGAACAATAAGCGCATGCTTCTTTCTCTAAATAAACCTTAATTCACGAGCAAACTCTCTCGGGTCCGCAGTAATAATTACAGTATTTTGAACAATTTTTGCAACGCCTTAATGCATCGTAGCGGCTCTCACGTAAGGAAAATGGCACTTGATGACGTTACAGAGCAACACAGACCGACAGAGGGTTAACAGTAAACCCATCACCAGATCCTCCAAAAGATGGCATCAGCCTGGGTACCCTGTTGCACATAGGACACAGCTTGTTACACACAGCAAAGGAGCGCATCCATATGATGATTAAATTGATTCTTTCTCCGCTCTGAGTTGGTAAGGCACCATGCATGTGCCGTCCTCGATGAAGAAGTCCATAGGCTGGTTTGTGTTCACACTGGGTGCATTCTGTTTCTTTCAAGGGAACCTAAATTCAATGAATGCGTCATAAATTAAAACTGTTCGTGAAGGAAGAAGCTCTGGATGCTAAACCTCAATGGACACTTCAGCAACCTATGAACAGTGTAAACACCAGACAAGAAATATCAAGTTAAGATGCAGGCCCCTGCCGGGGGGGAGGGGTACTCCTGGGAATTCTTGGTGAAGTGTGCCGCCCGGTTCTCCAAATCCTGACCATATTTCAAACCCAAAAAGTGTCATTTTCTACACCCGTTTTCAGACCAGACTTTTAAAATCCATGATAGGGTGATACTCGTAAACAAATATCGAAAAGTATCAAATGTTTTCAAATCAGTTATTGAAGTACGGGTGTCACGCATCCCTGACGGTTTTTCCGTTTAACATTCATTTATAAAATCCAAACAAGTTTTCAGACCTCGACTCTAAGCAGAAATTATGTCATTACTTCTTAGATTAGAGCACAAACAAAAAATTTCTTAAAATGCATAGGACCCCGAAATGCCCCGTTTGACTTTCCTTTAACACTCAACAACTTTTCTAAATATGACGATTATCATTTTATTCTATAACAATTGTACGTTGAAATTACCTATTTATATGCTTCTCCTTGTCCTTGTCTCCTTCTTCCTCTTCCTCCTCACCATTAACAAGAACAGGATCATCTACGTGCACCGTTGTATTAACCAGGTTCACATGGAATAGTGCAATAGCTCCAGAATCGCCAATACCGTTACCACGCAAATTCAAATTAGTTAGGGAGGAGCTGACTGCAAGAGCCTGAGAAAGAGACGCAGCTCCAGAATCACGAATACTGTTCGCACTCAAATCCAAATTAGTTAAGGAGGAGTTGACTGCAAGAGCCTGAGAAAGAGACGCAGCTCCAGAATCACGAATACTGTTCAAACTCAAATCCAAATTAGTTAAGGAGGAGTTGACTGCAAGAGCCTAGGAAAGAGACGCAGCTCCAAAATAACCAATACTGTTCGCACTCTTATACTACTACATGAGAAATTACTGCAATTTGATTGGCTTAGAGCAGTGGTATTTCAGCTTAATTTGAAATACCTACATGTGAAAATTACAAACCCTTTGTGGGTAGTAGTATAAACAAATAATAGCATGATTTGTACGTGATATTTGGCATAAATACCACTCGTGATATTTCAAAATTGTCTCAAATTTCACTCGCCTAACGGCTCGTGAAATTACGTATAACAATTTCGAAACATCACTCGTGGTATTTATGCCAAATATCAATACAAATCATGCTATTACCTATACAAATCCAAATTAGTTAAGGAGGAGTTGACTGCAAGAGCGTGGGAAAGAGACGCAGCTCCAAAATCACCAATACTGTTCGCACTCAAATCCAAATTATTTAAGGAGGAGTTGACTGCAAGAGCCTGGGAAAGAGAAGCAGCTCCAGAATCACCAATACCGTTCCCCTTCAAACCCAAATTAGTTAATGAGGAGTTGACTTCAAGAGCCTGGGAAAAAGACGCAGCTCCAGAATCACCAATACCGTTCCCACGCAAATCTAAATTAGTTAAGGAGGAGTTGACTGCAAGAGCCTGGGAAAGAGAAGCAGCTCCAGAATCACCAATACCGTTCCCCCTCAAATCCAAATTAGTTAAGGAGGAGTTTACTTCGAGAGCCTGGAAAAGAGACGCAGCTCCAGAATCACGAATACTGTTCCAACGCAAATGTAAATTAGTTAAGGAGGAGTTGACTGCAAGAGCCTGGGAAAGAGACGCAGCTCCAGAATCACCAATACTGTTCAAACCCAAATACAAATTAGTTAAGGAGGAGTTGACTGCAAGAGCCTGGGAAAGAGACACAGCTCCAGAATCACCAATCCTGTTCCTACTCAAATTCAAATTAGTTAAGAAGGAGTTGACTGCAAGAGCCTGGGAAAGAGACGCAGCTCCAGAATCACGAATACTGCTCCAACTCAAATCCAAATTAGTTAAGGAGGAGTTGACTGCAAGAGCCTGGGAAAGAGACGCAGCTCCAGAATCACCAATACTGCTGGTACTCAAATCCAAATTAGTTAAGGAGAAGTTGACTGCAAGAGCCTGGGAAAGAGACACAGCTCCAGAATCACCAATCCCTTTCCTACTCAAATTCAAATTAGTTAAGAAGGAGTTGACTGCAAGAGCCTGGGAAAGAGACGCAGCTCCAGAATCACGAATACTGTTCCAACTCAAATCCAAATTAGTTAAGGAGGAGTTGACTGCAAGAGCCTGGGAAAAAGACGCAGCTCCAGAATCACCAATACTGCTGGTACTCAAATCCAAATTAGTTAAGGAGGAGTTGACTGCAAGAGCCTGGGAAAGAGACACAGCTCCAGAATCACCAATCCCGTTCCTACTCAAATTCAAATTAGTTAAGAAGGAGTTGACTGCAAGAGCCTGGGAAAGAGACGCAGCTCCAGAATCACGAATACTGTTCCAACTCAAATCCAAATTAGTTAAGGAGGAGTTGACTGCAAGAGCCTGGGAAAGAGACACAGCTCCAGAATCACGAATACTGCTGGTACTCAAATCCAAATTAGTTAAGGAGGAGTTGACTGCAAGAGCCTGGGAAAGAGACACAGCTCCAGAATCACCAATACTGCTGCTACTCAAATCCAAATTAGTTAAGGAGGAGTTGACTGCAAGAGCCTGGGACAGAGACGCAACTGCAGAAACATCAACACTGCTGCATCTCAAATCCAAATTAGTTAAGGAGGGTTTGACTGCAAGAGCATCGGAAACAAACGCAGCTTCAGAATCATGAATAATGTTGTCACTCAAATCCAAATGAGTTATGGAGGAGTTGACTGAAAGGGCCTTGGAAAGAGACACAAATTCATGTTCGCAAATTGCTGTGTCCAATTTCAAACAAGAAATGTGAAGGTGCTCACCTAAGGTGCAAACTAAACTTTCGTGCTCTGATAAACAACCTAAAGAGAATGCAAGACGCTTTGAAAAGTCTCTGACAGACCGAAGACTTGTGATATTTCCAGCCATACATGTTACGAGAGACTGTGCAGTTTTCTCACTTGTTGAAACTAAAATCCCGATCGTAAATAAAAAGACTTCGTATAGTTCGTTCTCAGTCACCACTGATTCGCACTCAATTTCTCCCTCAATGAGTTTGTAAGCAAGATTGAAACCAGAAAAGAACTCTTGAAAGCTCTTATGAAGAAATGCATAACGCACAACAACTTTCCTCTTACTGCCACCAGGCTGAAGTGAAAGGAATCCGAACTTGGATAAGACAATGAAGCGACCGTCAGATTTATGTTCTTCAAAATACAACTCTCCTTTTAGAAGAGATTCTAATGCCATTCTTCCAAGATCTATTAATTCTTTTTTGTAAACGGTCATCAGGTCATTCTTGCTCGCTAAACCTTGCTTTTGTTCATATCTTCTTAAAACACAAAGAACAATCTCCGTATACAATTCAGTTCTACTCGTTGGAAACACGCCCTCAAAATCCTCCCATATAACACACAGTAAGGCAGTGTTTAAGGGATTTTTTGTCAATTCACTCAGGTCTCTATCCTTTTTTGACTTTGCGAAGCGATCCTGTGGCCATATGCGTTCTATAAGTTTCCAGGCTAAGTGCTCTTTGTTGATGTTTTTAAAGTATTTAAGAATAAAGCTTTCTGCATCTTTCTTGGTAAATCCTTCAATTTCCCACAGAGTGTCAAAGTACCTCCTTACTGTACTACCAGCCTCATGACGAGATGTGACAACAATGTAGCAACGTGAAAGTTCTTTACCTTGAATAAGCCTGGAGAGTAATTTGAGTTTACTAGGATCCACTTCATCCAATCCATCGAGAACTAAAAGAACTTTCGACTGATTTTCGCGAATGAATTTAAAGAAACATTCCTTAGCTTGATCTTCCATTTCCTCGGGTAAAATTTGATCATCAATAGCCTCCCAGATGTTTGACTGAATTTCATTACATTTGAGAAGCAGTAGCACTTCAACCTCTGGAAAAGATGGATCCCATTCGTCCTTCTTAGTTGCCCAGTCATACGCCAGCTTTTGACAGTATGTGGTTTTTCCCATGCCAGGATCTCCCTCGATCAAGATTGTTCTAGGGCTTAAACATTCTTCGTGCGCCTTAAATATAGCAGTCATATTGGTTATCTCGTCAGTAAGTACTCCTAGGGTCTTTTCTTTGCCTGAGATTTTTAATCTTGTAAAAATATCATTCAAATAAAAGCTGAAATCTTCACACCAAGGGACAGGCAGAAGGCGTTGTTCACGAGTTCTATACAGCTGACGGATCCTCTCAAAAATGTCGTTTAGGTATGACAAATCTAAAAAATGAATGTTCATACACGTTGCTTAAACGTTATCAAGTATTTGACCTGTTAGTTGGTATATTATGGAGGGTGCATGATTAGGGAAATATGACATACTTTAAGAAGTACTTTGCAATTCTATTAAAAAACGCATGAAAATTCGGGGGTGGAAGGGGAATCATTTGTCTTTCGCTATTTATGATTCCTGCCTTTTTTGCCCAATGATTCACATCTTTTTTCCCACGATTCATGATTCATTGTTTTACGTCTCCGCTTCCACCACCGAATAGAAGTATCCTGACCTCGATTTCACTGCAGCACTGGAATTAGCGGGATATAGACCTGACATTACCTTATAGTCACCTAACTTCGAATGTGGTCACATTCCTGAGCATTTCATAGGCCAAGTCAAACTTTTGTTTGCAGAAAGTCCGAATCAGTAAGAGTTCTTTCAGTTGCAGCATACTTGTGTTGCATAACTCTGAGGTGCAAACAACGACGTCAGCAATAAGAAAGGAATGTGAACACAAGAGTTCATCTTGTTGGCTTGACAAACACTGAAAGCCAGCCAAGTCACCTAAATCGTTAACGTCTAGCGCCAAAATCGACTGGTCTGCCTGCCTCGGTAGCAACACAGCCTCTGGAGAGGAGATTGGTACTCTTAAAAGGGTATCTATCGCCGATTTGAAGCGGTACAATTCCCCCTTTTGGGGGGGGGGGGGGGATTTGACAATAGAAGGGTGGTCGCTAGATGCATATCATGAACTCGTACCTGTAGATCTACAAGCCATAAGATCTTCCGTGGTCCTTCTTGGTTTTGCTCTGATTTCGTCGTTCTCCATCATGTACTCTTCATTACCCTTCTCATTCCTTTGAAATAAACACTCATCTGGCAAAATAAAAAATAGTAAACAAACGGCCGTTAGATTCTCACAGTTATATTCACTGAGGTGGGAGAACCATCCGTCAGTCAATGAAAAAGCATTCTCTATCACAGTCTTTTTATTTTGTACTGTTAACAGTATGGTTAGAAGGTCAATAATGAACCTTTGACAACTGACATAACCTTAGATAACGTATGATCACCTAGCAATAATACAGTACCAAAACTGCAAATCATAACAATTTTTTCCTTTACGATATGCAGTATATGGTATGTATAAATTGAGCAAGATCGAGGGGCCGAGCGCCTTAAAACTGGTAATTTAAAAAGGGGCACTAGACACCATGAATAAACTCTTCTTATTATAATAATCATCTCTTAGTGTAAAATCGCAAAGCCAGTATTTGCTTACGATTCCAGTCACTCAGCATAAAGCGCAGATATTTTACTGTGAACTGTTTCAAACTCGCCTGTTCAACATCACACTCACTTCTTCTCAATCACAACCATTAAGCTAAACAGGTCACACTTTGTTGCGTCTGAAAATCTCAAAAAATATCCGGCTCAATAGGATCTACTCCTACGAGTATAGGATATCTGAAGTGAAGAAACGCTATTAAAAAAATCAAAAAGAAACTATTTTCTCCTCATTGACAAAAAAGCGATTACAGTATTAAGAAACTCATTAGGATGATTTTTAGAAAGAGAATCCATGCAAAAGCAGTTACCAACCCCCACTTCTCTTGAACACAAACGCCATACTGACTGCAGTGCAGGGCTGATATCTGCAGCACATTTCCAAGCCACCTACGCACACGTTCTTGGTTCGTCACACGTTCCTGCCCCACTAACTGTGGGGCTGGAACACGTGACGAACCTCTAAGAACGTCTGCGTGGGAGGCTACACATTTCCCACCAGTCAAACAATTAAACCTGGCTCATTGCGAGAGGGAAGAGACTAGTATTGTACCTTTTCTAGGCTGAAGGCTAACATAGTGTAACTCATGAATGTGTCCCAACACAAGGGGGGTTTGGTCAGCAACTGTGTGTTCTGGATGGACAACTATTTCACGATCAAGGCTGCTGATAATACGGATGGCAGTTTGAAAGTAGTTTGCTGCAGCAAACAGAACCACGTGATCACCCCAGGTACCATCTTTCGCTATGCTTTGTAAATATTCACGCCATGATGGGTAGCCGGAAACAAAGTTGAACAAGGGTGTTCCATCATGCTAAAACAAAAACAACGACAACAATCAAGCAAGTGAATTTTAATTAGCTCATGAATCAGAATACAACTGGAGTGAATTTTGAGTTAATTGACAACAACAACAGGTCAGAAAATGCTGCAAAAAATAATATCTTTAGAGGTACAGCCAACTATATAACCTCTGAAAATACTTTTTCACTTTAACGATTGATGATCTTTAAAAAGAAAAGCTTTCAAAGCACAGAGCACACATTCTTAAGTGTTTAGCCCATTAAGAAATTCTTGCTAATGATATATTGATACATTAAATAAAAACAAATGCTTTAACACACTTTCCCCTATTTCAGAGGTGTGAGCCCTCGGGAATCTAATATCTGGACATTGTCTCTTTTTTGCAGTACACCCCTCCCCCCTTACAGGTACAAATCAACAAAGTTCCAAAATTATAACAAGGTACGGCTCAGGATATTACACTGTATCAACTTCGCTTTATAGTCTTGGATTTTATAGGAGACACTTAAGGCCTCTGCCATTTTTCTCCTAGCATGAAGTTAAGCATACAATTAAGGGACTACATCATTGCTTTACCAGATTAGCGTTCTCTCTGAGAAACTGTACCAAAGTGTTTCTTAGTGCTTTGTGTGAGATTTGGATTCCTTTAACACTTTTCAGTTGCTCAGACAGTGCATAGAACAAACAGTTCCCAGAGGCTTGGTTATCAGAAACTAAGAATCCTTTCTTCGCTGCAACCGTTCTCAGATTAGATGGTAGGATGGTTTTGTTGCGAACCTGGTCTGCATCACATCGCAAATTTTGTAGAGATGGAAGGATGTTCTCAGCTAGAAAAAAAAGAAAGTTGTTCTTACATTTTCAGTAGTTTGATAGGTGTGCACTGAAGCAAATTCTATTGATTATTTTCATGGGACATAATAGACTCTCTCAAAGTCCTTCGCTTCTCAGTTCCGGTAGTAGTCTGTCAGTCACTTTAATTGGCCAGCAAAAGCATAAAAATACAGACACACAATGCTCAGTACAAAATATTGGCAGCAAACCGTATGAATCCTATTAATAATAATTAGTAACGCATGCCAACAAAATAACTTGAGACAATTTGCCCTAAAGGGCCTTTCTAACATCTTGCAAACTTCAAAAAGGGAAAATAAAGCACTGCAACTTTGAATGGAGGGGGAGGGGTGTGGATTGTTTTTGCTCTGAAGTTCCCCTTTTTGAGTACAATGTCCCTACAATTTTGTCGCTGATTGACATCTATGATTATACAGGGCTAAAAAAAAGTCCTGTTCATTAGTCCATGACAAGTAGATTTTCCAGCTGGACAACCAACTTTTAAAGCTCACTTTTTTGCCCATACATGTATATGGGCAAAGATCCAAGTAAGACACCTTCTAACCAAATCATTAACTAAAGCCCCATTCACACCAACTAAACATGGTTAAAAAATGGAAAACAGTAACAGAAAATTAGAACACAGCTAGGCTTCTACAGATAATTCAAATGAAATTCAACAGGTTACATAGTAGCAGCAATCAATAAAGTAGAGTAAACAGCTTCTTAACTGTACTGAGTGTACAAAGAAAAAAAAACTTAAACTGTGTTTAATTAAACAATTAAACAAGTTTAAGCCTTGATGTGCATGGGTCTTAAGACATGCAACAAGTGGCCATGGCCCTAGGCAAGGAAAAGGTGAGAGTTGCTTTCCCAAAGGACAAGCTTGAATTCAAGTTTTTTTCAAGCCCTATATAAAATAAAGCAAAATGTCCATGGCAAGCAAACTTCAAAGTCAAAATATACGGCATTACCATATGGTCAATTGCAGTTGTATCTTAAATCGCCTAGATTTGAATGTGGCATGTGGTCACAGCATTTTATAAGCCAAGTCAAACTTTTGTTTGCGGAAAGTCCGAATCGATGAAAGTTCTTTCAGTTACAGCATACTAGTGCTTCATAACGACATCAGCAATGAGAAAGGAATGTGAACACAAGAGTTCATCTTGTTATCTTGACAAACAGAGCCAAATCACCTTAATCGTTAACATCTAGCGCCAAAATCAACATAACAGACTTTCTCAAAGTCCTTCGCTAATCTCTTTTCTGGTTCCAGAAGTAGTCTCTTGCTTTGCCAACGAAAACATAAAAAATTTCTAGCTCACTCTTTGCGCTTAAGAAACATTTTGAGCTTGACATGAGAACAAGTATTTGACTTGTTACACAGTAGCTTGCTTATTACGGTGGGCAAGTAAAGGGAAATACTTTATGATTCTGTTTTGAATCCAACTGAAAAAATAACTGAAAATATCCTGATGTCAGTTTCATTGCAGCACTAAAGTTAGTGGCCATGGGATGTGGACCCAGTATTACCTCATGATCAGTTAGCAGTATATCTTAAACAGCTTACAATAATTCGAATGTTATTGTTCAAGCCAAAAAGTCTGGTAACTACATGTATTCAGTGGTGTGGAGATGAGGCTATGACCTATTTCATGTTTCCGTGCAACAAGGAAAAGCTGAACACAGGGTATCAAAGGCTTCATCTTTAAGCCTTACATTAATCAATGATTACTGTGGGCGACAAGAGGAACCCATAATTCTGATCTACAGGTTGAAATGACGTATGCACGGCACTTATGTAGCCAGCTTTGAACAGCTACGTTTGGACCTCCACTAAAAATGAATGGAACACACAGACCTGGCAATCTGATCACATGTGAAACTTCCGTAGAGCACAGAATTGAAGAAAGACTTGGAGTGTTTTAACTCTGAATCGCTGTTGCCCACACTCATTGATTATTACTAGTTAAAATATATATCTAAAAGAATGCGTACTAAGATTTCTGTTTATTTTTAGGAATCAAGATTGCCAAGCAAGTGCAGCCAAGCTGAATCTCTGATAGACCCAATTCAATTAAGGTTGCTTTGACAATATTGGTCATTAGCGATTGGGCATTGGGTGTTTAAGCATGAGTTCTTGATGATTTGCTTGAGTGACCACCAAACAATAGCTTCAAAGTGCCCAATTACCAATGCCCAAAACAACCTTTATTGAGTCAGCTACATAACAGCAAGATCAATGCACACATAACTAAAGCTAACCTGACTCATTAAATTCACTTTCGAGTTCATTCAGCTTGTCTTTGATATTGTCCTCCACTTTCTTCCACTGCTTTAGAAGTTCCCTGAAATGTTCTTCCTCCAGAGAGTCCATTTCCTGATCCCTTATTTCGTCAATGGCATCTCCATAATGGGCTCCTCCCAATCTCAACAAAGTGTCACGAATCTGCTGCCAGTAGTTACTGAACACAGCATCATTGATGAAGCCCTCTCCAGCATGTTTAGACACAGCATTCATGAAATACCTAACACGGGCAATGTCAGACTCACGACTGGCGTCTGCTGTGAGAGGAGGTGTGTCCCAGCCAGCAGGTGGAGGACTCAGATTACAGATTGTCCTTAAGAGCACTATCAAGAGGGGGATATCAAAGCTTGCAGATGTCACTTCAGGGGATGAAGAAGGATACAATTTACTCCACTGGAGTGAGTTTAACACCCCTCGCTTTCGAAGTAACAAAAGTTTAGAGTGTTTTTGATGTTTCAAACACCTATGAAGACTCTGTGGTGGAATTATTTTGTCAAAGGTTACCCTGAGTGCCTTTGAACCCAAGGTGATTAGAAGACGACATAAATGGGGATAATTTAATCCCTCATTAGTGCAAGCAAAGTGAGTTGATTCAGGATCTATAAGGCAAAATGACAAAAATTCATTAACCAAAATTTTCACTTTTTATGGTTGCTATAAGTAATTAACCGTTGCCAAATTCTACAAGCTTTTTAACTACAGGGTTCGTGCAGACTTATTCCAAAACAATACTTTACTTTTCCAGATAATTTCAAGGTTAACAAAATTAATAGGTGATCACTAAACACCTTGAAAAACACTGGATCCAAGCTTTTTTCATGATGCACTGAGAACATATGGTAAACAAGGTGCAATGTGGACATTCTGTGATTAAATGTCTTCAGTACAGGGGAGATTGAAGGGAAATTGACCACAGGGAAAAAATCACTTATTAAGCAATTGTTGTATAGCTATGAAAAAAAGGTCCAGAGTTTTTACTATTTTTCCAGAGACTTTTTTTCTATTTTTCAAGACCTTTTCCAGGTGTTACGGGTTATGCGTTCAATTGACAACCCTGCAAATGGCAACTGGAATAAGGCTTTTACCTCTTAACATGCCATGACACTGCCATGGGTCTACCATAATATTTAGTATTACTAGGTGTCTAACCCTTATAGAGACAATTTGTTGGGTAAAACCACTGCCCACTCCTGGTTGCTGTCTGTCACCCAAAAAACCACTTTCAACCAAGCTCTCAAATGTATGATGGAAAATGTTTTTTTGCAAAAAAAAAAAAGAAAAATAAATAAATAAATAATAAAATGATAACAATAAGAATAAATTTAATAGAATTCAATTCGTTTTTTAAATAATAATAATCTTTCTACTTGACACTGTGCAAATTAACAAAGTAATACGTACATGATTAAAATAATGTACATGATCAAATTGACATTCATACCATGAACCCAACTGATCATCTTCTCAGTAAGATCTTTAATCTGTTTTGCCCAGTTGTACTTTTTGTCAAAGGAATCACGCAACATTTTCGCTTCCTCCAGTCGACTTTTCCTGTCCTTGGCCCAGATTTTCTTAATAGCTGAGGTCCAATCCATGGGTTCATCTGAGTTAACAACATATGTTGAACCAAAAGGTACACAACACAAAGCTTCTCCAAAACCAGAGTTACTGCTGACAATTATCCACTTCTTGAAACAAGTCCTTCAAACTCTCTCGCTCTTTAACAAATCCTCTTACTCTCAAGCGCCTTTCAGGAACACCACATTCAGTCAACCGTTTTGCTATTTCTTCGTGTTTTCCATCTGGGGCTCCAACAAATACAAGCCGAGTATCTTCTAATGCAGAAATCACTTTTCCTGCAATGTCAAACCCTTTTAATTCAAAATCTTCTACGTCTCCCCGACCAAACACTAAGACACTACGTTGTTGCCATTCACTGGGAACCTGCTTCAAGGCTGCAAACTCTTCAAATACTCCAGGAGTGAAGTCAAGAACAGTGTCATCTTTTCTACAGCTACGTAGATATGAGCGGAAGGCCTCACTCAACTTGGGTCCAACTCCTACAACATGGTCTGCCATTTTACACAGTTCTACTTCAGTCTTGTGCTTTTCTTCGCCCTTTGAAATTGGGTTAGAATATTTTTTAAACATCCCAAGTTCTTCAGGGTCTGTGTGCACCACTTGAAGCCATTTGCACTTTTTAGATTTTTTTATGATTTGTGCTTGTTTACCAAGTTTAACTCCATGACCCACAATAATATCAATTTGCAGATGATCTGGAGGGAAGCTAAGCCACTCAAGTTGTTCAAAGCCAGGTAGTGGTTCTGCCTCCACGATCTTCACATTGTTTTGTAAGGCAACCTTCTTGTCCTCTTGACTGCATTGTGGTAAAAAGAAAGTGATTTCCGCTTCAGGGCATTTGGCTAACTGAAGAGCTAATTCTCTGTTTATGGTAGAAAGCCCTCCTTTGCTTGATCCCCATTCAGAAGCCAATATAGTGACTTTCACTTTGCGAGAGCCACACAGTTGGTCATCACACATGTCTGCAGTTTAAACTCTTTACACATAAGATGTCATTACCAAATATCCAAGTTGCCAAACATCTACAAAACGATAGACAAAAACAGAGAACAATATATTATGATAACATTTCCAAAACTTACACACTACCCAACTTCGAAAATTCCAGCTAGGTTTCTGGCTGCCGAATAGCGAATGACTCTGAAGTTTATAGTGGTTAGGGTTAGGAAAGTGAGTGAATAAGGTTCTGTTAAGGGTCATCATACTGGGCAAACTGACCTGAAAATTGATTCACTCAGTTTCCTAACCCTAATCACTAAACTTCAGTATCATTGAGCCACCATTTGGTCCTAGCAACAAAATTCCTACCTTTCATAACCACACTTCCATACAACCAAAATTCCACACTTCTTTCACAGTTTTGTGACCCACACTCTGGTAGACTGCGAGCAGTCTCTTATTTTCTTCAAAGTAGCTGGGGTAGAATGCACAAGCAGCGAGCGGCCCACTCCCTTTTTGGCTTAAAGCATTTTCTTTGCCAAATGCACCATGTCTGAGAACTCGACGGATATTAATTAAGAGAAATGACGGACTGCTTGCAGTCTATACCCTGGCACTTAAGAACATAAATTTTGCTGTAATTATGAGCCACTGCTCTTCCTTTTGGATGAACGTTTATCAGAGGCCAAATACGACAACTACATTAGCCTGCATAGCAAGTGGTTCAGTGTGGATTCGGAGCAAAGAACAAGAAACAAGAGTCCAAGACCGCATCAAAAATGGTGCAAGTAAAAGAGTAGGGAGGGGGTGGGAAAGAAAGGTAGGAAATACTTGTAGACAAACCCCGGGATTTTGAAAACCACCCATTTGGCCTGTTATGTCTAAGCACGTGCACTACCATTTGATGCTGTCATCAGCGGTCATAAATTGACCACTAAAATGTTTGGCTTTCCATGGAGCAGAAGTGGTTTTTCAATGATATGTGTGGAAGTAACCAAATAAAGTTTCTTTCTATTTCTGAAGCAACACGTGGATGGCGGGAATAAAGAAATCTCAATGAATCTGAATGATTAATGTAGGCTTTAAAGTTAAATCTTTTTAATTCTTCTAAAATAAAGGACTGCAAGGATGAAGTTTTGAATTTTTAGCTCAAAACCTTCAGAAAGTTGGATTTAAGGTGGTAAAATGTGACAAGCATTCAAGTCTAGAATTTTAATCCTTGACACGGGTGTTTGTACAAGATCAAAGCTCAGCTAGACAGAATGGTGTACCATTCTCTCAACAGCAGAGAACAGAGTTGCTCTTAGCTTGTAAAGGCAACTAAGAACAAAGCCAAATGCAACCTGGCAACTGATGAAGTTCATGTGTAGAACCAAAACCATGGGCTGGCCTGAACAGAGAGTGGCAATAACAGAACAGTCACAAGACTGTTAAGCTAATTCAAAAGTTGTTACCAAGTAATCATTGCTTAAAGAGCAATCTTGACAATGCAATTCTCCATAGTTGATGTAGCTTCAATTTAAGGTGGAATCCATTCTTCGAGTAATTTGGAATTTCTTCTTCTTTGCACGGCTGTTTGACTTTAATTTTGAAGGAAATTTTGATCCTGAATTTCTTAAGCAAAAAGTGTTTATTCCCTTTTTTGATGACCCTGAGACATCTCATCTGCGATAATGAACTCTAACCTTGACCGCTAACCCCAATTTTTTTTTACTGCAAATTCAGAATTACTTTCAAACTGCATCTATCTAAACCTCTTCAGAATTTAACAAAATTCCTTTTCCTCTTGATACATTTTCTATTTTCCATATTAATATATCCGTAGCCTCCCTAAACACTTTGACGACCTGTCAGAATATTTTCTTTCACTTCATATGTTGTTCTCTGCTGTTGTTGTTTCTGAAACCTCAGGTTACATAAGTCTAATTCTGATCTCTTTAATATTCCCGGCTACCATTGCATTTTATCTCCAATTTAAGAGAGAATAAATTAGGTGGTGGAGTTGGTCTTTACATTCAGTCTGATTTGAATTTTAAGCCTAGGACTGATCTTCAATCTTCTGACAAACTATTCACTGTACAAATCAGTTTTTGTGGAAATAATGTGACCTTATGGTAAAAATATTATTGTTGGCTGCCTCTATAGACCTCCTGATGCCTCTCTTAATGACTTAAACATATTGAAGATATCTTGTCAGCCATCAGTCTTGAGAATAAGCTATCTAATATATTGTGGGTGATTTTAATATCAACATCCTCAAGTCTCATTCTCATCAACCTAAATATGAGTTCATTAATCTTATGACATCTAACAGCCTCAATTCTTTGATCTCCAAACCAACTCGCATAACTTCCTCAACTGCAACTCTGATTGACAACATATTTACAAACAATCTCGAACTTAAAATGAATAGTGGCATTCTTTACACAGATTGATCTGATCACCTCCCAGTTTTTCAAGTTACCCACATGAAAATAATTGTTGAGCCACAAGGCCAAAATGCATTTGTAATTTCTTATTAACTCAACAACTATGTCAGAAATCAGGTCTAAACTGGAAGGTGTTGACTGGTCTTCAGTCTATTCCATCAATTCTGTAAATGAATCCTATGACACATTCTCTAGTCTTCTTACTTCGGCAAACAGTATATCATTTCCTCTTCAACCTGCATGCTCTGAATCTCGCCGCTCTTCAAACCCTGGTTCTCAAAAGCTCTCTTTACATCTTGTAAGAGGAAAAATCTTTTTACAAACAGTTCTAGTTAAACCCAACTGCACTCAACAAGTTGAGATATACAACAAATACCGTAATAAATACAATTTTCTTGCCAGGAAAAAATACTTCCATGACAAACTTTCTCTCTGTTCACTCTACAAATTCTATGTTTCTTGTTTTATATTCTCACACTTTAATTGCCTTCTACCTGCCTCTCTCTCCTCGCTCCTTCATTTTAATCATGATTTTCCTCTAACTCGTTCTCATTTCAACTTGCTTAAAATGTTCCTAGTCAGGTATCAATTTGCTATTAGTTATCAAGCCTCGATTATTTGGAATGAAATTCCCTTGTCTATCCGTAACAGCCTTACCACCACTAACTTTAAAAAGGAACTAAAACTTTACTTTTTAAGCCTGAATACAATTAGCACAGGATTCTCATAGTTTATTGTCAGCTTAGGGAAAGTTCATTTAATATGACAAGGGGGGGGGGATGAAGACATTGAAACTCGAAGCTTGAAATTTTAGCAGCCCCCCTCGCTAGCGGTTCAATTTTTTAGGAGCCCCCTCCTTGGTAGTCAAAAAAATTTCAGAGCCTTCCCCCTCCTCCTTCAATTCCTTTGCTCCCCTGAAAAAAGATCGCTAGACTGTATTAAATATATTTACCGTTATTGTCTTCAATGGTTTATACTATGACAAACTTGAGATACAGTTGTGATACAATTTTCTAAAGCATTTTTAGGATGAACAAGAGTGTAATAATTATTGAGACTACATTTGTTATAATTATCTGTAAACCACGTGATATAGCTGAGTTGCACAGGTCATTAAATTGTTGAGTTGAAAACCATCCGATCTGTATGATGATGTCATGTGTTGGTTTTGAAGTATACAAATTTTCGAGCCCCCTCCTAGTGCAACAATTTTTTCAGAGCCCCCTTCGGTGTCTAAAAATTTTTGCAGCCCCCTCAATATCCTCATCCCCCCCCCCTTGTCATATTAAATGAACTTTCCCTTATTTGTCGCTGGTTTTGTCTCTCGACTGCATGTATGTAAACTTATTTAATTACAGTTTTGTATCTTGTTTTAGTTTTGTAATTTAGCCTACAGTCTTCATTTCTATGTAAAACAATTTCTGTCACTTTGACCACAGGCCGTATAAGCCCCCGGCTTTGGCTTTACTGAGTTTGTACTACATGAGCGATGGAATAATAACGTTAAAGTTAAAGTTAAAACCATTGTATTCACAGACAAAAGAAAATGGCTTTTAGTTATTCATATCCAGGGGGCACTTGGGAGAAAGTTGAACAACCTGAAACTCGTATTTATAGCTGCAAGAAGTGCTTTACGTTTCAAAAGA